TGCCCAACTTTTTATCCCCCTTCCATAACTTTTCCTGATACCCAATTTAGGCTAAGTCAAACTCGGACCCAGGGTTAATGTTTTAAAAATCTTCACCTCACCGGGGATTTGAACACAATTAGTAACCTAACTTGTGAAATAGTTTACCCCAAGAAATGTAAATAAAAACAAAAAAATGTTCACTAAATAATTCACTCTTGGTTCAGAGAAAGTGCAGAGTGTGAGGTATAAAAAAAAGTATCATTATGCCTTGCAACTGCTATTGGATATTCTTTTACTAAATCTCTTTCTTCTGCAATAAAGTGTAGATCTAAGTTGTTTTTGTATCTTCTGACTCTCTAGAGAGCTGCAATAATGTAGTGGCTGAAAGCTCACTACTGGCCCAAATGCCTTGGCTTCAAAACCGCATCAAGGTAATTTCTTTTCAAAACTGACCTTGGCTCCTTGGTCAGTGCAGTCTAAAATGGGTATCAGGAAATGTCCTTGGAAGCAAAGGTGGCCAGCATTATGCTGAGCACATCAGCCATTGTCAGCCAATTGGTCTATAAAAACGAGTCTAGTAAATATGCCTGATGTCCCACTGGCATAAACAAGGGTTCTTTACTTGTCTTGAGTTACATTAGGCATGTGGTGAAAGTCTCATGTTACACACCAATCGTCCATACAGGGCAGGGTGGTCAAAAGTCAGGTGACCTTCTCTAGACATATCTCAGGTGACCTTCTCTAGACATATCTCAGGTGACCTTCTCTAGACATATCCTGGTGTTTATGTTAGAATAGGTCGACCTCAAAGCACAGGTCAATTTTTGTGTGTTTTAAAGTTCTTTTATTGATTTAATGCAGCTTAAACCCATGACAGACGAGCTGACAGGCAAGCATGCTAGCCATACATTACTACAGCTTCTGGTTTCTTTAGCATGCTCTGGTCAAATGTAAGAATTAACAGAACCTGTTCTGTGATGTACAGAAATGCAGGGGAGGAACACATTACATGTCATTAGTTGTTCGGGACCTCAAGAATCAATATAAGGCAGCTGAAAAATTGGATTTTACAAACAAGAGTGAAACAGACAAGAAAAAAAAACAATAACAACTGGAACCAGCAATGTAAAAAAGATTCCAACAAATGAAAATAATAAACGATGTAGTCCTAGACATAAAAATGAACATAAAAGAAGAAACACTGTTTTTCTAAAAACAAAACTAAGCATTTAAAAACAAAAACTTATGAAATAATTTACTCCCAGAAATAAAACATTAAAAACTAGTTATTAAGAAGTTGCCAGGAATAAACATCATGAACAGTGGACTGAATAAAAAATAAAACAAATGCTCAATAAACACCGGTGATACTACAAGTTAACTGAAAACAACAATTCAGATCACAAATTAAAATAGAAATAATTTTCTACAGAAAATTAAGGAACAAAATCAGCTTCTGGTAAAACATTTGCATACTGATAAACTGTGTTAGAAGGCTGAACAGCAGATGCATAAATGGAGAAATAATGGGGGGGGAAAAAACACTTTCAATGCATCTCATCCCACCCAAAAAGGGCTCCAGGCTGTTTTGTAACCATTGAGTGCCCTTATATAACTGGGTTATTTGGCTGAACTGGGCTTCTGGGTGGGATCTATTTATAATAACTACTACAACAAATCATCAGAGTATGGTTTTTACAGTGGCTACTTGGAAAACCTGGTTTCTTTAGCATGCTTTAGAGATTGGTTTACACCAGTGGTTCCCAGTTTTTCTTCTTTGCATTCACCATCTGTAAACTCTGGCGGAAAGTTCTGGTTGTTCATCCACTTCTGGACTGCAGTCCTGTTTCAGAACCTGAGTTTTGCGTGTGCATCTGTTTTACAGATCTGACTCATTTTATGCAGACTGCTGGTTCCTTGTCTCCCAGGCAGATGCACTCAGACTTCAAGAAAGCTCCCATTTTGTCGACACTTACGACAAGCTTTTGGGCAGGCAGTGGGTCTATTCTTGTTTTCCCTGTAACCGGGTCCCGGAACCCACACGGAGAGTGGTCCCCAGTTAGCTAAGACCTGCTGGCAACTCTTTCTATCAAAGGTCCATTGAGGACCCCATATTTGATTAATTCATTCGTTTACTGTCCTGTTGTGTCCTTATGTCATCCAGAGCTCACTGACTATTCCTCCATTCTGTTCTATCTTGTGCAACACAATCTAATCTAGCACCTTTGGACGCTTTCATCACCTTGTTAATTTTTTCAATTTCACAAATATTTAAACTACTTACTGGACTGCATTCTAAATTTGACATGGGAGGAGGGGGGGGGGGGGATTATATCATGGACTCTTTAAATTTGTTCCTCGGGCACCCGCGGGTGTGTATGTGAACCACCAAATGGGAAAGAGAGCTTTACACAATGGCTGGGATTAACGGGAACATGTAAATCAAACATATTTTTTTTGCTTAGTTTTTGGAAGTGTCAACTCATGCAATACCAGGCGACCCACACTATACACATTTGTCAGTTTCTATAAACATGCCATGTATTTCTTAAGTTTTTGTGACATATTCACTTATTATGCCAACCTAAATTTCCTCAACTGTTAGTTGGATGCCTATCTCGCATTTTTTTTTTTTTTAAATCCTTCAGAACCCAGCACTGCCATCTTTAAAAAAAACACAAAAGGCATTGAGACAAGTCATGCCAAAAATGTTTGCAAAATTCACTGACAATATAAAGCATTACGTCATTTACATATCCTAGTTTTCCCTACTATATCTGTACACTGCTATGACCATTACTAAAAAACCATGCATGTTGCTTTCCCAGGTTTTGTCCTGCTCACACAACACTTCTTCACAATCTGAAAAACATCTTCAGTCTCTCCAAATTCTAATGCTCTGAACCCAGTGATCAACAGTGCTTCTATCAACTGCACAGTATTTGCACACTGCATGTTTATAAATTTTCATCATTTATCTTTTCCTACAGTCTATAATAATCTACTGTTAGTAACACACACTATCCTCAAATACCACAGAAATGAATCAGTGGTGTAACACACACTATCCTCAAATACCTCTGAAATGAATCAGTGGTGTAACACACACTATCCTTAAATACCTCTGAAATGAATCAGTGTTGTAACACACACTATCTCAAATACCACAGAAATGAATCAGTGTTGTAACACACACTATCCTCAAATACCACTGAAATGAATCAGTGTTGTAACACACACTATCCTCAAATACCACAGAAATGAATCAGTGTTGTAACACACACTATCCTCAAATACCACTGAAATGAATCAGTGGTGTAACACACACTATCCTCAAATACCACTGAAATGAATCAGTGTTGTAACACACACTATCCTCAAATACCTCTGAAATGAATCAGTGGTGTAACACACACTATCCTCAAATACCACTGAAATGAATCAGTGTTGTAACACACACTATCCTCAAATACCTCTGAAATGAATCAGTGTTGTAACACACACTATCCTCAAATACCACTGAAATGAATCAGTGGTGTAACACACACTATCCTCAAATACCACTGAAATGAATCAGTGTTGTAACACACACTATCCTCAAATACCTCGGAAATGAATCAGTGGTGTAACACACACTATCCTCAAATACCTCTGAAATGAATCAGTGGTGTAACACACACTTTCCTCAAATACCTCTGAAATGAATCAGTGTTGTAACACACACTTTCCTCAAATACCACTGAAATGAATCAGTGGTGTAACACACACTTTCCTCAAATACTTCTGAAATGAATCAGTGGTGTAACACACACTATCCTCAAATACCTCTGAAATGAATCAGTGGTGTAACACACACTATCCTCAAATACCACTGAAATGAATCAGTGTTGTAACACACACTTTCCTCAAATACCTCTGAAATGAATCAGTGTAGCTGTTCTTTTGTCAGAATGCACTGCTTCTTCTTGTATACAATATCATCATGTAGCAGGTCCTTTGCAGAACGTTGCTCTCATAATTATCTGCCCGAAAAAAACTCGGTCACTCGCCAGCTCTCCCACCTTATGCCCTTTCATACTCAAGGAGTCACATATATCCTGTGCCCATCTTCGTGTTGGTCGACCCCTGCCCCTCCTTCCTGGTACTATGCCTTCTGCTATAATTTTTTCCAATCCGTCGTGGCGCTTGATATTACCAAAATATTTCAGCTGGTATACAATAGTATATAATTTAGACATTTTAAATCTGAAGTATGCATGATGTCATGTTTCTGTCTTCACTACTCACTGAGAAAACAATGTAGGGCCACTGTGTTCTAAATGTTCTTCATAACATTTCAGAACAATTATTATGGCCTGGAGAGAATGAGGCACCTGGGTGTAACATAAGGATCTGGCCGGCTCACTACACTCAGAAGAAAGGCAAGACGGACATTTAACCAGATTTTTACCGGTACCATCAGTAATGGAACTCTGAGCTGGCTGCTGAAGATAAAGACGGAGCATGCATGGGAATGCCCCGAGTGCTGTGATGTCAATTCTAGACTCAACTCCACTCAACTCAACTCAACTCCACTCAACTCAACTCAACTCCACTCAAATCCACTCAAAACTGAACCTTTTAAAAAAAAAACCTGCATGGGACTGAAAGAGTTCAATAACTGCTTTATAAATAAACGAATTCTGTCAGTATTCAATAGTTGTGGATTTCAAGCTGTACGATAGACATGGCCAATAAGACACCTTTTTTGGCGGTGCCTAGTTGACCATGTTCTTAGTGCACTTGTATCCATGGCGAGGTGCACACGCTGCCTGAAGGTGACACCTTCAATTCCCAGCACAGTAACGATAGCTTTCGATTTTTATGTTGTCTAGTGTGTTCTTCTATCTTTCTACTTCTTTCTATGAGTGCTGATCAATACACTTTCTGTTACTGGATTAATTCACAATAACTGCTCTACAGCAGTCCCTATGCACTAAAAAAAATTCTTGATCTGGCTTCACTACAACAATGAAAGATCAAGAAGACGGAGCTTGCCACTTCCTGAAAGCTTTTACTCCATCTTTCTTCCATTCTTCTTTTGATATAGCCATTCCTTCAAACTGAGGCATCAGTGCAACAGAGCAAGCACCAACGAAGGCAGCGTGGTAGCGCTGTGGGGCAGCATGCACCTGGTGAAGATGAACAATTATTATGTAATATGTCATGCTTGTTTTTAATGGCATACTATGACTGAAGGCAATGGTGAATAATTCACAATAACAATACATAATGACTGAAGGCAATGGTGAATAATTCACAATAACAATACATAATGACTTAAGGCAATGGAGAATAATTCACAATAACAATACATAATGACTGAAGGCAATGGTGAATAATTCACAATAACAATACATAATGACTTAAGGCAATGGAGAATAATTCACAATAACAATACATAATGACTGAAGGCAATGGTGAATAATTCACAATAACAATACATAATGACTGAAGGCAATGGTGAATAATTCACAATAACAATACATAATGACTGAAGGCAATGGTGAATAATTCACAATAACAATACATAATGACTGAAGGCAATGGTGAATAATTCACAATAACAATACATAATGACTGAAGGCAATGGTGAATAATTCACAATAACAATACATAATGACTTAAGGCAATGGAGAATAATTCACAATAACAATACATAAAATGGCACATCATTATTATCATCATCACGTGTTCCTTTTATGGGTTCCTGGGTCCCATTCTGGGGTGAGGAGAACAGACCCACTGAGACTATAACAAGCTTATTATAAAAGGTGACTAGTTAGGGGTGTTTCCTTTAGAGTCAGAGTGCATCTGCCTGACAGGTGAGAAACCAACAGTCTGCATACAAATAAGCCAGAACTGTAACACAAATGTGCCCTCAAAGGGGACAAGACCAAAGCCCATAAGTGGAGGATCAACATAAACTTTCCACCAGAGTTTACAGCAGACGAATGCTAAGAAGCTAAAAGCATCAAGTGCTTCACACATTGGCATACAGGCAATCGCTTCTCAAAAGGTCTTGATCTATAACGGTATATACAGTAAAAATTTCGTTACACAAATTCTAAGCGACCATAAATGTGTTAATTTAATCCCTGTTAAATGTGGATTAATATGTTATACTCCCTGTGGGGGTCTCGGGGCCCCCATTGTGGGGAAAACAAAAATAGGCCCACTGCCTTCCCCAATAAGCAGTTCGTAGGAATCGACTAATTGGGGACTTCCTTCGAAGTTGGAGCGCATCTGCCTGAGTGGCAAAGAACAACTAGCTGCACACAAATATGCCAGTAAAATAGATGTACATAGAAAACTCAGGCCCTGTCACAAAGCTAAAGTCCAATTGGACTAACAATGAGGAGTTTCTGCCGTAGCTCACAGCTGGTGAACAAAGAAGAAGAGGGAGACATGTAAAACATCCCTCCTGGAATGTTTACCTTAATTTTTATAAATTTTTCATTTAAGCGAGTTCATGGGGTTACTCCATTAATTTGGGTGTGGATATTTTTCCGTCAGCGTCTGTGGCTTAGATGTTATGAATGCGCTTTGTAGTGCCGTTTTCTATCCCAGCTGCGGACAATTTGTCTTGCGTTGGTTTCAACAGTGGTATTGACAGCTGACCATTCAGGAAGCAATGGTAAACTACTGAACATAAAATTTGCCTAGAAAACAACAACTACCAAAAAATGCTGAGGTTGGTTCTGCAACGTCCTGTAAAGGATACATAACTAAGAAAAAAAGAGATTCTTTTCCATGTCATGAAAAATTGCCGTCAAAAATGTCAACTGATCATCTCCCTTCAAACTCTGGATAAATTAGCCTAAAATGAGTACCAGGTGTAATGTGCTGTGAAGAAAAGGTTGCTAGATTTGACCATATCTCCCACTGATGTCTGGTAAAATGTAAAGGATTCTTTTCCATGCCTTTCGGGCATATTGGGCATACAGGGCTAGACCTTTATTTTCATTGGCAAATCGGCACATGGTGGGTGATGTGGTCAGCATCATGCCGGCTGCCTTTACTTCCCAGCACTGCACCTGGGACCCACTCAAGGCTGGGTCGACCTGGGGGTCAAGGTTGTTTCTGACAAAAAGTCATGCCCCGTCAGGATTTTAAATTAATTTCACTTGACATGACTATGACCTGGGGAGGTGACCAAACATATCAACTATTTATCTTCTTCTTCTGCTTCTGCATTTGCCCTTAAAAGGGCAACTGACATGCTGTGTTGCGGTTTATAGCTAGGCTGAGATATCTGCACCTTTCGGGCCTACACATCTAATTAGTGCCTGTCAGAGGGATGCGGGTCCATTCTCAATTCTCCACCCCCCACCCCCACCCCATCCTCCCCGAAATGTGACCCTGGAAAACCACAATGGGAAATGCATAAGATCTGACAGATAAAACTCAGTGCAAATAATAGGGGAGAAATCTTTTCTTGAGCTTGAATCCATATGGTGGCAGATTTTTTACAATTCATCTGGTCTCCCAGTCCTACAAATCGGTACAAGAAAATTTCCTTGGAAGTAAAGGCTACTAGTATGATATTTAGCACATTGCCCACTGAGTGCGGATTGGTCTAAACAAATATGAGTCTGGTGCAATATGGCTGACACATCAATGGCGTCATTTATTTTTGTCATTTATAACAGCATAAATGTTAAACAAATTTGCATACCTCAACTGGGACACCTGGTGGCGCTAATTTACTTAATTCCTTTTCCAACCTCTCTGCAAAGCCTGGAAGCAGGGTGACCCCTCCACTTAAAAATATAGCCCTGAAAAAAAGACATAAATTCTTTCAGTTCCAGAAAGTTTTCACAGCACAGCAGGAAATAACCAATAAGAACAATGAAATGTGCAAAATGGTAACAAATATGGCATATGTAGCTACAACTAGTGTTAAGAGTAGGGTACTATATGCTTTTTCATCCCATCTTTTCAGGTGAGACATTTCGTAGGGAATTTTCCAAGACAGTCCTATAGTCTAGGGAAGTTAGGTTTAGGAGAAATCTTGGTCGCAGTTCATTTAATACTAACTCTAGGAGACTAAAACTCCTATATTCTAGGAGTGTCAAGCTTATTTTCAGCGTTCTTATTGTACACTGCACTATCATTTCTAGCATGTGTTATGTTCGTTCTTCGTCACCCTTAGTCTGCCCTGTCTGGAAGCACTGTTCTTACTTCGTGACTTGGCCTTCGTCATGAAGTTCCTTGACCTGTCAGTATTCCTGCATCTAACCATAACCCTAACCCTTGAACCCTAACCCCTGAACCCTAACCCTTGAACAGTCGTTCACAGAAAAGAGAGTTGCTAACTTTCATCAGGGAGAAAACACAGTTGTACATTTTCGCCTGGGAGACAGTGTGCTGACTCGATCAAATAAAGCCAAGCCACTTTTTTAGCACACTGCATATACACAGCAAATGAAGGCATGTCATAACACTCCAAGAATATAGAACTGTCCCGGGGAATTCACAATAAAATCTCGCACGAGATAGGGTGAAAAAGTTGAACAGTACCGAGAGCAGAAAACAGAAGAAAGTAGAAATTATCAAGGGTAGAATTTTATTTAAACACATCATTTATACATTTATGTAACATATTTAGGCAATCCTCCTAATAACGGGCACAAAAGATGGTGGCCGCAAAATATCCTGACGAGCCTCAGTCACGTGTCAACTGCGCACTTGCGGTCACGAGCACATCGCGGCAAAACTAGGATTAGTGTTTGTAGACAATTTCGAGAAACGGAACAAGCTGCCGAGTTAAACTCGCCGCTACGCGCAGCACTGATGGGACTAAACTAGATGGCTGGTACCCACGAGCAGCAGCTTCTGCATCTCCTGCAGCTTTGCTCGTGAGTCCTAGCCATCTAGTTTAGCCCAAATCCACGCCGTCATGAGCGGCGTGGGGGCTACTCTCAGCGGTGGCGGTAGTCGGCGGAAAACAGCAAATTAAGTCGCCGGAAGTGCGCAATTGACACATGACTGAGGCCCTGTTTTTGGCCGCCATCTTTTGTGCCCGTTATTCGGAGGATAGCCGGTTTGTGGATGCTACTAAAAAGAAAGCTGTGTTACCAATGCTGTATGAGCCGTGCCTTGTTCCGATCGTACTTAGCCGAGTTTCAATGGCGTAACAGCCACAAACAGTGGATTTTCGGGCACTATTTACAACTTCTGTGCCATAATTTCCGGATATAAAGGCATAAAATTATCGGTAAGTAGTCGATTTGATATAAAAAAAATTTTCGTTCCTTATTAGTTTTGACTTTAATTTTTTGAATGTTTACAGCACATGACATGTGACTGAGGATTGTCAGAATATTTTGCGGCCGCCATATTTCGTGCCTGTTATTCGGAGGATAGCTGTCACTAGAACGCACCAGTACTGAGTGAGCAAATAAGACGTCAAAACAATACGTAACGTTGTGAAGGTAATGTTGTCAATGGCAGTTGATGTTTTCAGTCCGAAGGAGACGGACGTGTGGATCCTTGAGGACGCTTTACCCCGGGATTCCACGGAAGCAGATGTTGTATAAAGTTGGATCCCTGAGGACGTTTTACCCCGGGACTCCAATATAGACCTCAGCAGAAAGCTGGTATACTTGTCACAGTTCGGCAGTAAGCCGGTATACTTACATTAACTTATTCAGACTGCGGAACAGAAGACAAAGATAACTGTCTGGATCTCAAGGTCGGACTGCGACCCGTCGGAGGACATATCAGTCCATGGATGTACGAGCAGGCTTTTTGTGATGTGCTTGAGTGAGTCTGGATTATTGATTGCATATTTCTCCTTGTGTTGATCATTGCTATTGTCAATACACAAATGGAACCTTTAAAGAGAGTTCTCGTTCCGCTACGTTTGGAAGCTTCAACATTCATCATGTTGTGTTACTCTTGGCCAGTGGCATATTAAGTTGTTGATGCCACTTGTTACATTGCGACACCCACATCACCACGCAGCCTTTACAGCACGTCACACCGTATTTTCAATAATTCAATTGTTTTTTGTTTTTGTTTAAATATATGTGTGGAAGAATCCCTCAGGAAAAACAATTGTTATAACCCCTGTCATAAACAATGATATGACAAATAAGTGTTTTTAAAAAAAGTCTGAGAACTGAAAAAATCAAACCTCCAAACATGTCTCCTGTTGTCCATAGGACAAGTCTGAATGGCTTGAAAGACGAGCTTCTGTAGAGTCTGGTAGTCCATCTCCCACATGTTCACATTGAATAAACCTTCAGGACTTTTAAACCTCCCCAGATCACACTCCACGCCCCTGAAACAACATGCCACTAATAAATAAGCATGCTGAGACATCAAGGCTTGAGTCTAAAAAACAACATTCATTCATATTTTATAGATTTAATCATTTTATAGATTTGATGAATCTTTAAAACCACCTGCAAAAAGGATGTTTGAAATAGGCTGTGAACAACACTAGAAGAGAATATCAATTAACTTTCCATCCTTTTCAGGACGAAATTTTTCGTTATTTGAAGCCCTACTCTGACTCTTGCCAGGGGCCGCAATATAGCCTAGCCATAAAAATGACCTAAAGGCTGAACGCGGTTTCTGGGACCTCTCCACAGTGATCCTCACCCACATGGTGGCACATTGTGTCATCGGGTGTTTATCGCTTGTGTGATATCCTGGTGGGGTAGACAGTCAGTCGCTAGAAGAGAAACTAAGAAGTTATAAGAACTACTGATACAACACCGATAATTACATTCTTTAAAAAACGAAGTCTTACATGGTTTAGTCATTTAATTAGAATAGGCCAACGATGTCAGCGACGGCAGCATACAAAAAGTAGAAACACCAAGAGGTAGGGGACAACCAAGAAGAATATGGATTGTAGGAGTCACTGATACCCCGAGATTTCACAACTTCACAGCATACTAAGCAACCAAGCGTGCCCTAGCTTGGAAACCCATCATCTGTTCAGCTGTGACACCCAGGGACACAAAGCAGAAAATAAACAAAGGAGGGAAAAAGACAGAAAGAATTAACCTATCATCATAACAGCAGAGATGAAATGTCCTAAAAGAGCTGCAAAACAAAAAGAGATATAATTACAAATGAATAAATCAGAAGACTAGGACTGAAACCAGTCCTATAGTTCATTAAAGAGCAAAACGTGAGATGGTTTGGCCATCTAACAAGAATTCCCTGGTACCAACAGCCATGTAGAGCCATGCTGAAGAAACACACTGAAAACAGAGCAAGGAGGAAAGCATGCAAAAGAGAAAACAATAGCGTCAAACACAGCTTTAAAGAAATTAAGATCAAATTATGCAATGCATTAGCAGTGCACAAAGAGGATCCATACATATCTCAACCCTTAATGAAGAAAGTGGAGAAAGAAGGGAACAAAAGAAGAAGAAAAAGAGTTTGACAAAAAACAAGAAGAACAAAATTAAGAAGAAGAAGCGGCAGAAGAAGTGGAAGAAGAACAAGATGAAGAACAAAAAATAAGAACAACGACACCAAAAAGAAAAAGAATTATTTTATCCTTCTGGCTGAGTGATTGTGATCAAAGGTTATCTTTCACTGCACTCTGAGCTATGCATTACTACTTTAATCTCTTCTTTCAGATCATACAAATAGACTTTCAGTTCAGTGCATGAACTTCACAGTGCGGGCAAAAATTCAAATTTGTGTATATCAGAAATGACACACATGAAAAAGTTTCTGCTGTGGGTAGATGGTAATTTTCAAAAATGTGATTCCGAAAAAGAATCTATATGGTCTGTCCCTCATTACGTCCAACAAGAAATACCAAAAAAAAAAATTACAAAATTATTACAAGACTTTGACTGAAACCAGCCGTACAGTTAATTAAAGAGCAAATTATGAGATGGTTTGGCCATCTGATGAGAATATTCTGGTACCAACAAACACAGAGGGCCAATCTGAAGAAATACAGTGAACAAGGGCAAGACCTTTGGAACAATGGCATCAAGAACAGCCTTAAAGAAATTAAGATCAACTCAAGTTATCCATTAGAAAGAGTACAACTAAAGATCCTCAGATCTCTTCTGAACATCCTAATGAACTAAATAAACAAAGAGGAGGAGAAAGAGTACAACTACTGAGAAATGTGTACAATTTGTGATGTGCACACAGGACCTATACAAGGTCCAACAATTAGGTAATGAGACTAATTCTATAAAAATTAAAATAATCAACACTTGAAGATATAACCTGTATTTTATTTTGCATTGATACAGCAAGTGGCACGATCTAACAAACACTGGAATGACCTCTGTAGTTCTTCTGTTTTTATGGCCCTTAAAGTTGATGTTACGGCCCTTTGGATGTCATCAATATTGTCAAAGAAGTGTCCTTTCAATGGCAACTTTAATTTTGGGAATAGAAAATAGTCACAGAGAGACAAATCCGAGGGGGGGGGGTTAATGGTTGAGAACATGCACTTGTTTTGGCGCCAAAAATTCCTGTACAACCACCGCCCTTTGAGCTGGTGCATTGTCATGAAGAAGAAACAAATTGCCAGGTGTTGAATTCAAACCAGCAAGCAACTTTTTTCTTGCCCAAATCTTCAATTAAAATTTTACGAATAATCTCTGTATTAACACCAAATTCATCTACCATCATCCTCACAGTTGAACAAAGATCTTCTTGTATCCAGTCTTGGAATTTTCCAATGAGTTCCTCATTACGAACAGAAATTTAGTGTCCAGGTCTAGTTGCATTAGGAATCATTTCCACACCACTTTCGAATCGTGAATACCAGCTCATATCTGTGTACGAGGTAAACAATTGTCCCCATAAACTTGTCGCATCAATTCAACTGTTGCAATGGCGCTTTTTCTGAGTTTTAAACAGAATTTAATGTCAGTTTTTCTGCTCCACGCTGATTAAATAACAATGCACCTCTGACTGGGTTAACGAAATGGTGGCCAGTTTGTTTTCTTATTGGGTGGCAATGAAAAGTTGCCACATCAAAGAGGTTGCCTCTTTGGATTCCATGCTGTGATTCATAGATGGCTTTTTTTCTTAGCCATAATAAAATCAGTCTCATTACTTAATTGTCGGACCTTGTATATCCACCAAAGCCAGTTCTAAGCATGAATGAGGCAGGGATGAGGTCTGGGTGTGCGGCCAGCTCCCTCACCCTGTAAACAGTTATTTGCTACAGAAACTTGGCGCAGGAGAAGATGATAGAGAATCAACAAACAGAATACATCAAAAATAAGAAATAGAGGGGCTGAGGAAACGAGTACGTACAAAAGAAACCCTGAGGCGAAGGCTGATGAGGAAAGCCAAAGGTGCTGGACTGGATTTCATCCCCGATATCAAAGTGATTGCATAGGACAGTAAGGAATTGAGAAATCGGTTGCAAGCCCTATGTGACATACAATGGCACAACAGCATAATGAAAAATGAATGAATTAATAAACACTGCACGTATTATTTATCAACTTTTTTCTAACAAGGCTAGACATCCAATCAAAGATCCTAAGCAGAGAGACAAAAAAAAGTAAACAGGAAGGAATGACATATTATTGTTATATGTTACATGTAGGATGACAAACATATAGCCAAATATATGTATATAGTTATGTAAACTATGTGAACCAGACCTCCAGGGCGATCCAGGGAAGACAATATCCAACAGTCCCTAACTGACAGAGGTCTGGAATAGAACAAAGCCAGAAAGAAAACTGCTGATAGAGACGTCTGGCGATTTCTCTGGCAAACCTCTACATCCCAAGGTAGAAGAGGAGCAACTAAGTAAGTAAGTAAGTAAGTAAATAAGTAAACTATGTGAAAACTTACGTGTAAGAACCAACAGGCAAACCAAACTTGCGGAAGTTTACAAATGCTCTTGCCGTCTGTGGGTTACTGTTGACCCACTCCACTTCTTGCGGATAATCTATGGCCACATAACAAACCTGTGAATGGAATGAAATATCAGTACAATCCATGATAAGTGAACATAAATAAAATAATAACAGAAGAGAAAACAAAAACAAAGTAAAAGGTCCCGTGTTATGCCAGTGGTGCAGGGGATATGTGATGTTTGGCCCATATGTTTACAGACTAGTCAGCATTGGTGGACGAAGTAGTCAACATCATTTCAGCTGCTTTTATTTCCCAGGACATTACCTGCTGCCCATTTTTAGGCTAGGTCAACTTGGCAACCACGATCAGATTCACCACAATATAGATTTGAACCCAAGACTTTCAGACCAGTATCTATCTAGCTACTACGCTACAGCTACTCCAAAAGACAAAAAAAAGTATACAATTTAAGAAAACATGACTAAATTAGACCATAAAGAAGCAATCAAGGCACATCGGCAACAAAAAGAGACAGTGGTGTGTCCAAGGATGAAAAAGTGTAGTGGAAGTGTGCAAGAGGAAGAGGCAGACAATGAACAGAAAAAACCAGAATGAATGCACCATGAAGATGTATTTGAGGTTCATTAAAGCTGACCTTCAGCGCAGAGATGGCACTTGATGACGGCAATGGTGACTAAACAGCAGCAACAAATAATGTACCAACAAATGATCAGTTTCTTCTTCTTCTTCTTCCCTGCGCTCAGTTTTGTATCATCATCATCATCATGTAGGAGGTCCTTTGCAGAATGTCGCTCTCATCACAGTCTGCCTGAAAAAAAAACTCGGTCTCTCGCCAGTTCTCCCGCCTCATGTACTTTCATACTCAAGGAGTCACTTATATCCTGTGCCCATCTTCGTGTTGGTCGGCCTCTGCCCCTCCTTCCTGGTACCATGCCTTCTGCTATAATTTTTTTTCCAATCCGTAATTTTGCTTGATATGACCAAAATATTTTAGCTTCCGAGACAGGCTGCTGTTTATTAGCCAATCTTCCTTGATGTTCAGATCTTTCAAGATGTCAGTTTCTTATGCTTAGGTTAAATTGTCAGGTGGGCTACCTCTATAAATTCACATGTCAGTTGCATGGTTTCCCACAGCTTGCTCTGTACACTTTGTTCTTGACATGACAAGGCAGATGTGGTCAAGGCCCTTCGGGAACAAGCAACGGAATCAGTAGAGAAAGAAGATTATTATGGCCTGGAGAGAATAAGGCACCTGGGTGTAACCAGAGGGTCTGGCCGGCTCACTACACTCAGAGGAAAGGCAAGACGGACTTTTAACCAGATTGTGACCGGTACCATCAGTATTGGAACTCTGCGCTGGCTGTTGAAGATGAGGACAGAGCATGCATGGGAATGCCCAGAGTGCTGTGATGTCAATTCTTGACTCAACTTAACTATGTTCTTGGGGGCATGTTTTCCTTCATAGTTTTAAGTATTGTGGGCAGGCCTGCAGAATGTGCTCAAGTGCATGTGGTCCCATCTGACAGGTACACTGTTGTCACTGTACAATCTTTATTTTATGTATGTGGTAGTTGAGCCTGAAGTGTCCTGTTTTTAGATGGACAATTTTTCTATATTGTTTTCTGTTTAATCTGTTAATAGTGTCTTGTGTGTGTTTACTGTTGCTCTGTCCTCTCGACAGTTCCACATATTTTCCCTTGATAAGTGACTTGATTTCTGATAAGGACAATGTAAAGGTGTGTAGTTTCTCTTTTTTGTTCCATCAGTCTGAAATAGAGTGGGTTTTTTGTTGTTGTTAAATTCTAAGAGTTGTTCTCTCTAAACTAGCACAGTAATGTACTTCACAGTAAGTACTAGATAATCATCTGATGCCTGCTTGGTGATTCTCTGTCTACTTTTCCTTAGTCTTAGTCAAGCTTTCAACATCACTGCAATTGGGTTTTCCCGTAGTTGCTTCGTTCCTGTGCCAGTGCAAATCAAATAAAATGGCCCTCATTGTTGCAAATAGAGAAACTAGTGAGCAAACAACTAGTCCTGGAACAATCCTGAAATATGTGCACACAGGAAATATGCTGAGAAGTGAAAGATGTGTGTGTGCATAGTGACCAGACCACATTATACACTATGTGCCAAATGGCCTTTAAGCAAATAAACAAAAAAAACCTACCTTTTCCATGATGTACCTGACCAGCAGCTGCTCTGTTGTGGAGAAGAACTTGTAGTTGTTGCTCAGTAAATAAGTGGTCAAAGACTCCTGCACCTTCTGAGCACCATAAGGGCATCTGGCCACACCTCCCTCAATGACGAAACCTGACAAAGTTATAAGAAAAAAAAAAAATTGCTAGTTATATCACAAAGGCACTGTGGGACAAAATCTTTTATCACAACAGTCATGTTCGTAGGGACATATGAAAGAAAGAGAATGATGATTTTATAACTTTTTCAGTCCCTGTGAGTTCTGATCAGAGGCCCAAGCGGTAGTAAGAAGAGACAAAAAATCGGCGCACCTTGCATTCACTGGGCTTTTTGGCAGAAGGCTGTGAACATGTAATGAGTTCCTTGCAACTGAAAGAGATATTAGTGCAATATGGGAACAGTTAGCATCTACAATTTCAAGATGTTTACTGTGGGAGACAGAGCCCCTACGGGTTTGCCCGGTGTGCTAGGATATAATTTCTTAAATTAGTAATCACTAGTGTTAGTAGAATGAAAAAAAAAATCAAATGTTAGTTTTTCTCAGTCATGAAAAAAAGACTACCATATTCTAGACTACCCGTGTGGGTTCTGGGGCCCCATTGTGGGGGAAACAAGAACAAACAAACTGCCTCCCCAACAAGCATGTCAGAGGAGTCGACTAACTGGGGACTTCTTTCAAAGTCAGAGTGCATCTGCCCAAGCAGCAAGGACCAATCAACTACACACAAATAAGTCAGTAAAATGGATGCACATGCAAAACTCCAGCTTTGGAACAAAGCCAAAGTACAAATGCATGAACAACCAGGACTTTCCGCCAGAGCTTACAACTGGAGAACAAAGAAGAAGAAGATATTCTAGACCATTGTTGACATTGATTGGAGGATTTTGTTGAGGACTTGCTCAGTGTACATTTAAAGTTTTCTCATGTCATCTCTAAAAAAGAACTGATGCTATTCATTACTGTCATGCAATGGAAATCCAGAAGGACAGTAAGGCATGTGAATTTACAGGATACCTAATAAGAGACACCCGCCGCCTGTTGGCCCAAAACTCTTGGGTTCAAATCCACACAAAATTAACTTGGTTCCTAGTTGGTTCCAACTGGCATAAGGAATACATCAAATGTGTGACAACAGGAGCTTAGCATCATATACCTAAAACAACACTGTCCAGTGGACCAAGAGGTGGAGAAAAGGCGCTAGTGCTGGATAGGACATGTTGAGAAAAACCGGAGAACAATATAATCAGAGTGTCTTTGTACTGGAACCCACAGGGAGCATAGAAATAAATGCAGACCAAAAAACATATGGTAAGAAGCTAGAGAGCGAATTTAAACAGATGGGAAGAGCTGCATGCAAAAGCCAAAGGATAGAACAACTTGGCGTCAGTTGGTTGTGCGTCTATGCTCCATTGGGGGATAGAGAGCAGAATAAGTTACATGGTACAAACCTCTTATTTTTCACTTACCAATCAGGACCAATCAGGTGGTGCGGACAACATTTTACCAGCCACTTTTGCTTTCCATGACATTTCCCTGTACTTATTTAAGACTGGACTGGCCTGGGAACCTATACCAATTTTACAAATTCACTATTACCATCATGTCTTACCATCAAATATTGGCAAAATCTCTATCCGGTGCCCAATGTCCACTATGATACCCGAGGTGGCATTGTATGAGTACAGTGACAGCAGTGCCTGTGGTACCATACACACCCCTTTCACTTTCAGTGTGTCCACCAGAATCTCCATCAGGCCTTTCTTTAGCGGGTCTCCCAAATTTTGTGGAGTGCTGACCATAACCTAGAGAATGGAGGAATTCAATTAATTACCTCACTGATATATTGACTGACTGACAGAAACAGAAAATAGAAGAAACAAATTAAATTATTATCATGCAGCACCCCCTCTGTGGGTTCTGAGATCCAACTGTGGGGGGAGGGGGGACAAGAACAGACCCACTGCCTCCCCAACAAGCATGTCATAGGATTTGACTAATTGGGGGCATTCTTTGAAGTTGGAGTACATCTGCCTGAGAAGAAGGAACAAAGAGTCTGCATACAATTAAGCCAGATGTGTGAAACTGATGCGCACACAACATTTATTTTATGGAACAAGAAATTCTGGATATGGATGAACACCCAGGACTTCCCGCCGGAGTTCACAGCCAGTGAACATGAAGAAGAAGATCATGTAGCATACCTTTTGCAGAACACCCTTTGCATTACAACCTACATGAAATATGCTATTCTTCCCCAGTAACTCTTCCTGCTTTATTTTCACGCCCAAACGACCTTTAATATCCCATGGTCACTGTTACGATTAGCAAAATACAGAGGTGCATTGTGGACTATCTCGTAATCATTAAGGGAAAAAACCAGGGGGCTTCTGAGCTGAAATGTTATAGAAAAATTCTTAGTATACCACGGACCAAAAGGAAAAGACATGCTGACATTCTAAAAGATCTTAGTATAAACAAAATACAGCATTCTGTCTCACAAACACAAATGTTGAATGTTGAATTAGGAATCGACATCATAGCACTCCCATAAGTGTTCAGTTCCAATCTTCAGCAGCGAGTGAAGAGTTCCAGTTCCGATTGTACCAATAACTGTCTGATTTTTATCCATCTCATCCTTCCCCTGAGTGTTGAGGGTTGGTCAAATTCCCTGGTAACTCCTCGCAGCGCCATTCTCCTGAGACCATAATGATCTACCTGCGCCAACAATTTGTGACCCTATAAAAATCTTCTACTTCTTTCTTCTTTGCGTTTACCAGCTGTAAACTCTGGCGGAAGGTTCTGGTTGCTCATCCACTACTGAACTGCAGTCCTGCTCCAGAACCTGAGTGTTGCGTGTACATCAGTTTTACAGATCTCATTCTCTTGAATACAGACTGTTGGTTCCTTGCCTCTCCGGCAGATGCACTCCGACTTTAAAGGAAGCTCCCCAATTAGTCGACTCCTACGAAATGCTTTTGGGGAGGCAGTGGATCTATTCTTGTTTTCCCCAACAATGGGGCCCCGGAACCCTCATGGGGGGCCTTTAAAAATAAAATGTGTTCGTTCTGCACTGTTTACTCGCTTTCGAGGGGCCCCAAAGTTTTTTTTTAAATTCTTTTGAGAAACAGATTCTCTTTTTCCCTGTTCTTTTTGAACTTTTCTAAACCTTGTACACTGCTGGAAAGCAGAAATATGTCATCTGCATATCCCTGTTCTAGGACAGGTCTGCCTCCAATCTTTCCCATAACACCTGTTGTAATAAAGTGCCACTGTGAGAGTGTTGCCTGAAAATGTGAAGAATTCTGTACAAAATGATCTGTGACTGAAAGGATTAAGAACTGGCACAGTGCTTGTATGTATAGTTACCCAGTAGTCTGAGGGGTTCACATTTAGGTCATGGAACACTTTGTCAAATATGGCCTTCATCAGATGTACTTCAATGTTGAACTGAAAGAAACAGTAATAATATGTACCTCAATGTTGAACTGAGAGAAATGGTAATAATATGTACTACAATGTTGAACTTAGAGAAAAAACAGTAATAATATGTACTTCAATGATGAACTGAAAAGAAACAGTAATAATATGTACTTCAATGATGAACTGAAAAGAAACAGTAATAATATGTACTTCAATGTTGAAATAAAAAGAAACAGTTATAATGTGTACTTCAATGTTGAACTTAAAAGAAACAGTAATAATATCTATTTCAATGTTGAACTGAAAAGAAACAGTAATAATATGTACTTCAATGTTGAACTGAGAGAAACAGTAATAATATGTACTTCAGTGTTGAACTGATAGAAACAGTAATAATATGTACTTCAATGTTGAACTGAGAGAAACAGTAATTGAATGTACAAGAATAGACCTCTGTCTACCCAAAAAGAATGTCATAAGAGTCGACTAACTGGGAGCTTCCTTCGAAGTGGAGAGGCAAGGAACCAACAATCTACACACACATAAGTCAGATCTGTAACACAGATGTGCAAGCAACACTTATGTTCTGGAAAAAAGACTAAAGTTCTGAGATAGACAAACAACAAGAACTTTCTGCTGGAGTTTACAGCCTGTGAACACAAAGAAGAAGGATGGGGGGGGGGGGGGGGGGGGGGGGAAGAAGCAGGAGGAGGAGAAGAAGAAGAACTTAGGGAAACAGTAATAATTCATATACTTTAATAGTGAAATGAAAGATAATACACTATTACCATTTGATTTGTTTAAATGCAAAAGATTTGGAGGAATACGATGACTTGACTCAATTCACACTGCACAAAGTGATGATGGTGATAATACTATTATAATCGTCACCTGCTTTGTTATATAAAAGTACCAACTATCCAGACTATTGTTAAAGTTGAGAGAATTGATTTCACTGAATTGGGTTTTATATAATATGGCCTGCTCTTTCTGTGCTTGCCGCCTGCTGAAAGTGTCACTTAGAGCACAAACTCCCTACTCCAGTTACCATCCATAGGGATCACCATTAAAAAAAAACAACTGCAATCGTGAACTGAACTGAATGATGCATCTGTGAAGCAAACCCAGGGCCTTCGGAATGTGAAACAAACTGCTTCACAATGGTGTCACAGCAACAGCTGTTAATATATACAGCATAAATGCATCAAACAGCAGTTAGTTCAGTACATAATAGTGCCAGCATGCTTGAACAAAGAACTAATAGATTCACTATTTTTTTTTTAAACCAGCTTAGGCAAAACAACTATGAAAACAATATAAATTAATATTAGCAGAAGAAATAAAATTCAGTATTTAATAGAATCATGCGAAAATTTATAATTTTTAAAACACTTATTAATTATATATTTTACAAATGTATAATTCACATATATTATATCTTTTGTTTTATTTATATTTTCTGCACGCCTGTGTACACGCCCATGCACAGACACATGCACACGCACGCACATACGTGCACACACACACTCACTATCAGTTAACTATGCTCAATATTCATTAATATTTTAAATGTCTTTTTGTTTCATTAAATATTTTTTTTTTAAACAATTGCCACCATTATTAAGACATCCAAGCATAACTATGAGCACAAAGAGACAGATTATAAACAGCATACTTATTCCAACATTAAGCTGCCAGTGCCAAACATGGACACCATCTAAAGCCCATGCAAAATCACCACCTGCAAGATGAGATGCCTGAGAAAAGCAGCCAACCTAACCACCCGAGATCGAGTGAATAATGAAACTATAAGGCAAACTGTAAGAACGACACCTTGTACTAGATTCATCGAGAAACAGCAGGTCAAGTGGTTTGGCCATCTCGTTAGAATGCAGCAAGATCAAATACCATCACAAGCACTACATCTCAGAAGATCAGCTACAAGATAAAAGAGGGCGGTTGGAAAAGATGGATTGACAACATTAAAGACACTACACCTTCACGGCATGACAATAGCCAGTGGTAGCCATCATGCACTGGATCGCAAATATTTACTCCCCATGACGCTTAGCAGCAAAAGTGGTTTATGATGATGATGATGATGATAGTTTAAAACAAATTATTGGATAATATTTATGTTTTGTCTTCAGAAAGGCTGCAGTATTTGTGCAATTTCAATTTGTTTTCTTTCCGCAACTGTTGACCAAGATAGTCTTTCCAGACTGTTTTGGTAGACATTCCAGTCTTATTAAAGTAAAGTAAAGTACTTTTTTCCACACCTATTTACAGACCAACCGGCACTCAGTCGGTGATGTGGACAACACTAAGCGGGCCATCTTTACTTCCCAGGACTTTACCTGTTACCCATTAAAGGCTGGGTTGACCTGACAGTATCATTATTACTCTCAGTATTACTCTCTCTCTCTCTAACATATGTACACACACATACATGTGTGCATGCTTACACACACACACATATGCCTCCACGCACGCACACATGCATGCACCCCCCCCCCCCCCCCCCCCCAAGTTTCCTGTCATTAATTTTTCAATTCAATGTCTCTTCATAACATTACCCAGAATTTACTGATTGTCTATGACTAATTTTTCTAATTAAGTTTTACTTCTTAATTTGTTTCTTGAAGAATGGCTTCAATCACAGTGTCATCTGTACATGATATTCTTTGCATTTTGCCCAGAAATTATTTCTGATGCCATTAGATGTCTCTCAGCTCTATTACTTAGCACACACATACAAAAGTAAAACTGATACTTTAGCATTTATCTTCTTCAATTTATCCCCCAATGGAGCATAGATCATCAACCAACTTCTGCCACCTTGTCTTTATCCTTTTCCATCACTTTCAGTTCCCCCTAAGCTTCCTCAAACTTGTAATTGGTTATGTTTTTAATCTTGCAAAAGACTATATCCCAGACATTAGTCCAATGAATATTACATAGAACTTTCCATCTGAAACAGGATAATACAACCTACACAGTGTACAGCACCCACATGTAGCAGGTCCTTTGCAGAAAGTCACTCTCATCACGGTCTGCTTGAAAGAAACTCAGTTTCTCCCAGCTTTCCCACCTCGTGCAAATTCACACAGAAGGAGTCACTTATATCCTGTTCCCATCTTCATGTTGGTCGTCTTTCAGCTCCCGAGACAAGATGGTGTTTATTAACCAATCTTCCTTGATGTTCTGATCTTTTAGAATGTCTTTTTTTTTTTTTTTTTTTTCATTTTTTTATCCATAGTATTCTGACAGTCTTTTTCAGCATTTCCGCTCAAAAGCCCCTATTTTCTTCCTTAATGACTGGGAGATAGTCACAAGATACAGCATAAACAGATACCATGTAACACAAAACATGTTTCATTTATAACAGAATATTCAATCAGATAATATGTTAAGCCAAACACATGCTTTCTACAGTACATTACACTGATGTATCTATAGTATGATTTCTATAACATGCATGCACTCGCATGCAACAAAAAGCCCACAGCCACAACTAAGCAGGTGAATACGTATGTAGTGCATAAGACAGTAAGTACACACTGCTTACAGCAAGCTCAAGTCAGACCACAATTTACATAACTGCTACTGTTATGGTCTTCTTTTTCTTAAGGTTCACTGGCTGTAAACTCCAGTGGAAACTTCTAGTTGTTTGTCCACTTCTGGACTTTAAGTCCTTATCAAGAACTTGAGTTTTGCAGGCACATCTAACTAACAGATTTGTCTTATTTGTATGCAGACTGTTGGAACCACATCTCTCAGGGAGATGCACTCTAACTTTGAAGAAAAACCCCTAATAAGTCACTTTTTATGACATCCTTCTTAGAAGCAGCAGTGGATGTCGGTGTGATCCACAATAATCTCCCCAGCTAAACTAGGTCGCGTTCCACTGATACATTTTTTTGGTACTCTTCTGCTGTCCGGGGTGTTACGGCTATGTTGTCCTTTCTGACTTGTTTTGCTTTTATGTTTTTTCTTCAGAGAAAGAAAATGCCTGTGACATAGGTTGCAGCACTCTCTAGGGAAGCTGTGGGTTAGACCCAGTTTGTAAATGTTTTTGTAGTGTTAAAAATGCTGGCGTGCTTAAATATACAACACCCGAAATCAACACATTACCGAAGACCCCCCCTTCTCCCCCCCCCCCCCCCCCAGCAGTGTGTGAAGGTTGGGTAACTGGAGGTTGACCAATCAGAAGTTAGCTAGTGTGTAGGCTGGGGAGATAATTGTGGATCATACCGTGGATCTAATATCCGCCCACCCCCATCACGTACACATACAATGGGACCCTGCAACCAGCCTGCCAAAAACTGTTATAGTAAAAGATTTTTTTTAAGATCAGTACAATTATCAATTAACTTTTACGATATGCTTGTTAGGGCAGCAGTGGGTCTATTCCTCATTTTTTGTTTTGGTTTTTGTTGAATGAGAACTTGACAATTTCTAGAATTTTCTAGAATGGGAATGAAAAAATGCCCTGCCCCCCCCCCCTCCTTTTTTTTCCCTCTTCCCTTTTCCATTGGTCATAGCCTATATTAAATGAAGGCCTAACAATTTACAACCAAACTGCCATATCTGCTAGGGGACTACTCCTTCCCCTCCCATCATCCCCCCTCCCACAGGCACGCACACACGCGCACACACACAACCTGCCATATTTCCCAGATCACTTCCTGGTAACCATTTTAGACTGGCCTAATGTGGAAGCCTCGGGCGGATTTTAAAATCTTCTTCAATGGTGTGTGGCATAAGTGCATGTTATGAAACCTCAGATCACTGGTCCAGAAGGCAAGTGGGCCAGCCACTGTGTTGATGGAGTCCACGCACTAAATGGTAAGTCAACTTAATGCTTGTGAGGATTTAGGGGTTACGTACATGACCTATAATTTCAAAATACATGGTTCAATTCAGTGGCAGGTGAATATGGCATTATATCACTTTGAATGAAAATGGTATGGACAGCCGACCATTCAGAAGCAACTGAAAACTACAGAACGTAAAATTTTCTAGTAAAACCACAACAACCAATTTCTTCTTCTGCCTTCCCCCTTAAAGGGCGGTTGGCATACTGAATTTCGATGAAACTCTAATCACTTTACGACATGTTTAGGGCAGTGAGTCTATCCCAGAAACCCCATCCTCCAACCTGCAACATCTTGTAAAGGATATGCAACTACTCAAGGATATGATATATAGAGTATTTTCTTCTTCTTCTTCATTTTCATCAGCTTAAAACTCAGGCACAGTTGGTTCCTCAACTCTCATGCAGATGTTCTCCGACTCTAAAGGAAACACCTTAAATAGTTATCTTTTACGACATGCTTGTTAGAGAGGCAGTGGGTCTTTTCTTTTATCTCTATGTCCTCCCCATTAATGTAACTTCATTATTAAACTTCCTTCTTTATGTCTATTTTGGTTTGCCATCTTTCTAATCCCCTGTGGGTTCCAGTGTAAAGACAATCTAGTTATGTTAGATCTCTACATTCATTCGAACCTATACAGGGAATATAAAGTATCTAAAGACAGTTACAGTAACCAGGGTTTGATCAAGAGTTCCCAGAGAATATTAGTGAGCCAGTCAGTAGGTGAATCTGCTAAAACAGAGAGCAATAATTTATTACAGTCATGCACTAACACCAAGAATGCAACAGTTACTATAAAATAGAAACACTGATGCAAATGATGACAACTTACTGCACTGAATCTAATCTGTTCAGAACATAATTAACAAAACTTCTAGTTAAGACAACTGAAATTTATATTTGCATTAACAAAACTTCTAGTTAAGACAACTGAAATTTATATTTGCATTAACAAAACTTCTAGTTAAGACAACTGAAATTTATATTTGCATTAACAAAACTTCTAGTTAAGACAACTGAAATTTATATTTGCATTAACAAAACTTCTAGTTAACACAACTGAAATTTATAATGGCATTAACAAAACTTCTAGTTAAGGCAATTGAAATTTATAATTGCATTAACAAAACTAGTTAAGACAATGAAAATTTATATTTGCAATAACAAAACTTTAGTTAAGACAACTGAAATTGATATTGGCATTAACAAAACTTCTAGTTAAGACAACTGAAATTTATATTTGCATTAACAAAACTTCTAGTTAAGACAACTGAAATTTATATTTGCATTAACAAAACTTCTAGTTAAGACAACTGAAATTTATATTTGCATTAACAAAACTTCTAATTAAGACAACTGAAATTTATATTTGCATTAACAAAACTTCTAGTTAAGACAACTGAAATTTATATTTGCATTAACAAAACTTCTAGTTAAGACAACTGAAATTTATATTTGCATTAACAAAACTTCTAGTTAAGACAACTGAAATTTATATTTCCATTAACAAAACTTTTAGTTAAGACAACTGAAATTGATATTTGCATTAACAAAACTTCTAGTTAAGACAACTGAAATTGATATTTCCATTAACAAAACTTCTAGTTAAGACAACTGAAATTGATATTTGCATTAACAAAACTTCTAGTTAAGACAACTGAAATTGATAATGGCATTAACAAAACTTCTAGTTAAGACAACTGAAACTGATAATGGCATTAACAAAACTTCTAGTTAAGACAACTGAAATTGATATTGGCATTAACAAAACTTCTAGTTAAGACAACTGAAACTGATATTGGCATTAACAAAACTTCTAGTTAAGACAACTGAAACTGATATTAGCATTAACAAAACTTCTAGTTAAGACAACTGAGTTTGATCTTTGCATTAACAAAACTTTTAGTTAAGACAACTGAAACTGATAATGGCATTAACAAAACTTATAGTTAAGACAACTAAAATTGATATTTGCATTAACAAAACTTCTAGTTAAGACAACTAAAATTGATATTGGCATTAACAAAACTTCTAGTTAAGACTACTGAAATGTATATTTGCACTAACAAAACTTCTAGTTAAGACAACTGAAACTGATATTGGCATTAACAAAACTTATAGTTAAGACAACTGAAATTTATATTTGCATTAACAAAACTTCTAGTTAAGACAACTGAAATTTATAATGGCATTAACAAAACTTGTAGTTAAGACAACTGAAACTGATATTGGCATTAACAAAACTTCTAGTTAAGACAACTGAAATTGATATTGGCATTAACAAAACTTCTAGTTAAGACAACTGAAACTGATAATGGCATAAATTACCATAAGGATTTCAGACATCCCTCTGGGCAGTGGGTCACAGTGGTGTGATGCTGACCACTTCGCCCATTGAGTGCTGACTGGTCTATAAAATATAGAAACAGTAAAGGGCCCTTTTTGATGAATTCAGGCGAACTGGGCATATAGGGTTAGACATATGTTTTACAGGCCTATTAGCATTCGGTGGATAATTCAGGGCTTGACCTGGTACCCATTTAAGGCTACGTTGACCTTGGAGTCAAGGTCATTTTTGAAAACAGTCAGATCCACAGGTGAGCGTATAACCGCTACACCATGGCAACTCCCCTATAATATATGTCTAGGACCATATATCTTCTTCTTCTTCTTCACTTTCTCTTTTACTGCTTTGGGTGTCAAAGGAGATATATGTTTCTACTTCTTGCTCTTCTGCCCACCTCGAGCATAGACATATTGTGCTGTTGTAGTTTCTGTTATTTTTCCCATCTTGTTCCTGGTCTACCCCATGCTCTTCATCCATCTCCTCTTTTGGTGTATGCCTTGTATGTTATGGCATCAAAAGGGATTCCCTCAAAGTGGGCAACTATTTGATTTGTTGTCTCTGTATGTAATTTAGAGTTTGTTCTGTGCCGCCTGTTTCTCTTTTTCTCATTCTGTTGCATTCATCCGAAGATGTAACTGCCCTGTGCTCGTTTACAGCATGGCTGCGATATTTGCGTTTTTTGGATGACACATCCGATTTCTGCAATTTGCTGACCGGGTTAGCCTTCCCTTTTCTCTTATGACCTCATTCTCAATTTTATCTCTTCCGGTCACTCTTGCAGAATTTTCTGATTTGTGTGAGCGACTGACTATGATGATGATGACTATGTCTGGCACTGTTAGCACAGGATTGGAATGAATACTCTTTGTATGAGATGCTAAAATCTCTGTCCAGAGAATCCTCAACAGACCGATCTTCAAAAAATAGTTGATATGTTGTAATGAGCTCAAAGGCGGAGGGAAAGAGGGATAGAGGGGGATCAGAGAGAAGATATTGGACAGTCTGACAGCACTGGGGGTGGGGGGACCATCTGAATCAAAAATGACTGAAAATATATGAGAAAACTGTTGTGGATAAGACATGACTAACAATGCCATAAACCATGGACTAGAAGAAGGAGAATGAACTCATCATGAAATAGAAAACATTTGTGCAATGTATCAATGTGTGTCAAACAATGATAGTGCAAGTGGAGATTAGAAACTACTGTGCCACCGAAATATGGTTCTTTTGTATAATGTTTACAGTTTTCTGGATTAATTTGAAAGAAAAAAAAACAATCAAAATCATGAAGGGTGATTCCTTTTCTTCTTCAGGTTTAAATATTTAAATAAATGAGTTTCAGTTTAATGAAAACAAAAGCAGTACTTAGGACAAAGTAGCTAAGTTATGAATTAGCAGAGCACATAAGACTGATGGCCAATTTGTGTCCAGTGTGAGGTACTGCATAACAGTTTGCCCTAGTCAGATGAGACAAGGATGGACCCACTCTCCCACTGAAGAGGTGCTAAAGTCACTGACACTGGGGCTGAAAGTAGAAACCACCACTCACAACAACCCTCACTTTATATTATGCAGACGAGTACACCATTAAAAAGTTTTGGGAGAAAAATACAAGGAAAGAATCCGATTTTCCCACCATATTTTGCCGTGACCTAGTATGTGTGAAGTCTTTGCCCTTCACATATGTACAGCAGCATCAGGTATGTGCTTATCTTCATTTTTATTTGCATGGTTGAAGACATCCTAGGGTGGCCATTTTCTCTGTGGTTGTTGCTATGTCTCTAAACCTCAATGACGCTATCAGTAAAAATCATATGTGCACTGAGATTTTCCATTTGTGATTTAAGAGAGCAGACTGGAGTGTGTAGGGAGCTATTCAAGTGGTTCGTTACACACCGAGTTTGAAAAAAAAAATCTATGAAACAAGCAGTTTTTTTATAGTACCTCAACCCTCTAAAAAGTCTTCTCAATATATGGAAATGGTTAGGCGGGGGGAGGGGGGGGGGGGGGGGGGAATGCTACAATCTGGATCATAAAAAAAAAACAAAAAATGTATTGTTTCATATATAAATGAATACAACTGCTCATTTATGAGGAAACTATCAACATGCTCACCTGATCTACTTTGTTGGAGGGCCTAATTGGATGTATTACTTTATATCTGTGTCGAATATCAGGTCGCAAAGCATCTCTGCCCACAGCCACCACTTTACTTGAATCCTTGTCCACAGCGACCAAACTCGGGAAAAACAGCTCAGGAAGGCATGCTATACACACAGAAAACATAAGCAACAATAATTAGCATCAGCTAGTTTACATGATTTGATATAAAAATAACCTGCAGTTTTGACTCTTAACCCCTTAACTCTTTCAGTATCAAGAAGCTTGCCATGCCTTTGTTAGGTCCTACTTACATTATTTGTAATTCCCAAACTCCTCATGCCACATAGAGTTGTCGCACTAATCCACTCTGCTGTAACGGTTACATTAACTCGCTGCATTGGTACTCTGAAAAATAAGTGCTTAGAAGGGCGGAATGTCAGACAGGCCTGCGTGCCCAATTTGTAATGCTTTGAAAATAAAGTTTGTTTGTTCGTTCGCTGCTATTATTCCCACTCACTGTACTCAAACTTTTTGATGAACTTGACGAACATAGTACATACAAGTTGATGAACATAGTATATACAAGTTGATGAACATAGTACAAACAAGTTGATGAACATAGTACATACAAGTTGATGAACATAGTACACAAATTTAGCCGTGGAAACAGGTATAGTACACACAAGTTGATGAACACACACATAAATTTAGCCGTGGAGACAGGTATAGTACATACAAGTTGATTAACACACACATAAATTTAGCCGTGGAGACAGGTATAGTACACACAAGTTGATGAACACACACATAAATTTAGCCATGGAGACAGGTATAGTACATACAAGTTGATGAACACACATTTAAATTTAGCTGTGGAGACAGGTGTAGTACATACAAGTTGATGAACACACACATAAATTTAGCCGTGGAGACAGGTATAGTACACACAAGTTGATGAACACACACATAAATTTAGCCATGGAGACAGGTATAGTACATACAAGTTGATGAACACACATTTAAATTTAGCTGTGGAGACAGGTGTAGTACATACAAGTTGATGAACACACACATAACTTTAGCAACAGGCAATGGCTTAGAGTTATCATTCACTGGCACCTTCCCGTCTGTTCAGACTGTAGTGTTTCATTATGCTATAAGGATGCACTGCAATCACAGCCCATGGCAATACCAATCCGAGCCAGGGATATAAAGTTCCTTCACCCCACAGCTTTCAGCCTGTGCAGTACTGCAGAGACCATGTGTTGCCATTGCAGCATAATCCCTCTAGTGGCCTGCTTTGTTAACTCCAAAGGAAAGCTAACACCAATACTGAAAGTTTAAAGTAAAGCAATAACTGACAGGATCATACCCTGCTGGCCTAAAATTCCTGCACGTATGGCACTGCTTCCAAGATCAATAACCACCACATTCTGAAAACATAACAGATTTCTATGGTTACCAGCAGTACCTCATTATTAAAGAAACAATAAACATGTCAATAGAAACGCCCAGTTTATGTAATCATCATCATCATGTAGCAGGTCCTTTGCAGAACGTCGCTCTCATCAGTCTGCCTGTAAGAAACTCGGTCTCTTGCCAGTTCTCCCGCCTCATGAACTTTCACACTCAAGGAGTCACTTATATCCTGTGCCCATCTTCGTGTCGGTCGGCCTCTGCCCCTCCTTCCTGGTACCATGCCTTCTGCTATAATTTTTTCCAACCCGTCGTGGCGCTTGATATGACCAAAATATTTCAGCTTTTGAGAAAGGATGCTGTTTATTAGCCAATCTTCCTTGATGTTCAGATCTTTTAAGATGACAATATTTCTCATCTTAATCTTATGTTTCTGTAATACAATGCATAAAACTCAAACTAGTCAAATCCTTATTATCAAAGTAACACAGAGATGCGAATGTGTATATATGTGTTTGTGTTTGTGAGTTTGTTTGCGATCATGCACATAAAACCATATGAGTTGAGTTGAGTCAAGAATTGACATCACAGCACTCAGGGCATTCCCATGCATGCTCCATCCTCATCTTCAGCAGCCTGCGCAGATTCCAATACTGATGGTACCGGTCACAATCTGGTTAAAAGTCCGTCTTGTCTTTCCTCTGAGTGTAGTGAGCCGGCCAGACCCTCTGGTTACACTCAGGTGCCTCATTCTCTCCAGGCCATAATAATCTTCTTTCTCTATTGATTCCGCTGCTTGTTCCCAAAGGGCCTTGACCACATCTGCCTTGTCATGTATCAATTCACCACCAAGTGGTGCGGGTCCAGCCAGTCTGTCTGCCTGTTCATTGCCCATCACGCCGGCATGGTCTGGAGACAATATCCAAAGTATGCCTACCACCCATGACCTTTCCAGTGAAGCTAGCCACTCTGCTCGAAGCATCATAAAACCCACATGTGAAGGGGAAGCTGTAGTAGCACAATGGTGGAGTCTGAAGTGGACTGCCAAGTTCACCCAGGAAAATATGCGTACAAAAAAAAATGTTACAGGAAGTAAAGGTGGCTGTCTCCATACTGGCCACATCACATACATCCAGTGCCAAATAATATCAAAACAACATCCAGTGCCAAATAGTATCAAAACAACATCCTGTGCCAAATAGTATCAAAACAAAGGCCTAGAATATCAAAGTGTGAAAAAGAGTCCTTTAATTTACATACAACAGCCTGTAAACTCATTCATGAATTCAGTGACCTCTTGCTTCATTATTTGTCATATAGAGCTGACTGTTTATTCCACTATTCCATTCTGTCCTCTGCAACCACTCTGAATGGAATCCAGTCAAGCACCTTTGCCTCTCTCATTAACATTTACTTTATGATTTTTCTTGGACGTCCTCGTTTTCTCAAGTCTCTATATTTCCCATTCAGTGTTTGTTTGGTGCCTCTCTGCTTGTTTCTTCTTAAAATGTGTCAAATTTAGCACAATCTTCGCTGTCTTATACCTACTGTTAATAATTATGGCCCAGACACTGCTCTTATTGCTTCACCCCTCCTAAATTATTCTTATTTCAGGTAATAAATGCTGAGGAATGTTTGTGATCTCCTGTTTAGGACATGTGAAAAACTTTTTTGTGTGGGTGTGTCTTAAATACATTTTTTCAACATCTGTGACATAGGTTGCAGCACTCTCTAGGGGAGCTGTGGAGCAGTTTGTAAATGTTTTTATAGTGTTAAAAGCGCTGGCGTGCTTAAATATACAACACATGATATCAACACACTGCCGAAGACCCCCCTAGCAGTGTGCGAAGGCTGGGTGACTGGAGGTGTGTAACGTGGGGAGATTATCATGGATCATACCGTGGATCTAATATCCGCCCACCCTTATCACGTACACACACAACGGGGCCCTGCAACCAGCCTGTGGAAAACTGTTAAAGTTAAAGATTTGTTTAAGATGAGTACAATTATCAATTAACTGTTACGACATGCTTGCTAGAAGGCAGTTTGTCTATAATAAGTGCTGTGGTATGTTTGTGATCTCCTGTTGAGGACGTGTGAAAAACTTTGTGTGTGTGTGTGTTAAATGCATTATTTCAACATCAGTGCTCAACAAACTAGACATTAGCTAGGTAGACCCAAAACAAAAACTACAGGAAGATGGGAGCCTATGAATGAAGTTAAACAAACAGGGAGGACTTAGGATGAAATGCATGCGACAGCAAAGGAGGGGACAAATGGTGTGAGTTGGCTAAGGGCCTATGTTCCACTGGAGGATACAGGGCACAAGAAGGAAAAGAAAAAGATTTTAGCAAAGCCCTCTGGGAACAGGTGCACAGTGCTTAGGCATAAACATGTCATCACGGTCTGAAAAGAATGGTGAAGTAGGGAGTGGCAAGTGGATCTGGTCGATACTCAACACTCCTTCTTCTTCAGCGATCTCTGGTCTTGCACATAATCCACAGTGGGCCATAAACTGGGATGTCTTCTCAAGGTCTTTTAGGTTTCCCCAAAGCTTAGTTGTCAGGTCTACTGGGTGTTGCCATATGTTGCTCTGCAGCTCCGCCAAAAGAGGACAGTCTTGCAGGATATGTTCTAGAGACTGTTCAGGACAAAGACACTGGCAGAGAGCTGTTTGGCTCATACCTAATTTATATGAGTGTTTATTGAGTCTGCAGTGTCCAGTGCATAAAACTGTGACTTGCTCTGTTTCATTGATGTTTTTGAGAAAATCTTTTTCCTAGTTATAACCAGTGCTGGTTTTCCAATCTGTTTCTGATTTTCTCTTAATGAGAGTTTTGACTTCTGGAAAAGATAGTGGCTGGTAGATCTGTGGTTTGTTACTGCCTTCCTTGGCTAAAGCATAAGCACTTTCATTGCCTTTGATGCCACAGTGAGATGGAATCCACTGTAAACGTTAGTTTCTGCCTTTTTTTTGACAACATAGTAAGTTCCTTTGTTAGACTTTGTAGTTTACTGTCAGTAGGCTTGGACTCAAGAGCCTGTATGGCTGACAGTCAGTCTGTGAGAAAAACTCTCAACACTCAGGGGAAAGGTAAGACAGGCATACAATCAGACTCCTACTGGTACCATCAGAATTGGAACTCTGCGCTGGCTACTGAAGAAGGATACAGAGCACTTAAGGAAATGTCCTGAGTGCTGTGATGTTTTGGAAGCTGCAGAGATGTGGTTTTATAGATGGATGATGAGAAGATCCTGGACAGGTAAAAAGAGTAATGATGATGTCCTGAAAGAAAGTGACTCAGGAAGAAAGCTGATTGCCTACATCAGAAAGAGACAATCTGCATTCTTTGGTCATGTGATGAGAAGGAAGAAACTGGAGTACATAGTGACAGTAGGAAAGTTGGAGGGGAGGGGAGGAGAGGCAGAGGGAGATTAAGAGAAAAGATGCTGGACAGTCTGACACCCTGGCATGGAAGATCATCTGCGCCAGAGTGGAATGAAAGTACATGAGACAGAAGGTTGTCGACAGACATGACTACCAATGCTGCATGACATGAACTTTAAGAAGAAGCTATGAAGTTGGCATAGCTAAACTCAAATCAATTCTTTTTAACATCTTTCAGATTGACAGTTGGCAATACCTTGCTTGTGTGTCTGGAAGACTTCAGTACCGGCCTCACGTATGTTGCCTTTGTGTTATCAGCTGTTTGAGACTCTAAGGATACCTTCCACTGTCCATACTCTTTCTCTGTTGGACATCTGACCATCAAATATCTGCCTCTCTGTAATGATCAGACAAATACTGTAGTGTGGTCAAATAGACCAATACAATGTAACATGACTGACAAAGGCAAAGCAAGATGGACATACTGTCAGAATTACACTGGCACTGTGGTACTGGAACTTTGCACTGGCAGATGATGAGGGCCCTTGTGGTGTGTCAAAGTTGTCCACATTCTAAGTCACAGCGTAATATGGTGGTCTATCATTTTTCCCACTGCCTTTTCTTATCAAACAATTTTCACACATTTTGTTAATTATCTACTTTAAAAAGTACTCAGAGACGCATTAAGCATATGGTGATAGTCTCAAACTCTATAGTTTGGTATTAGATAGGTGATATATGGTCAGCATCATACTGACCACCTTTACTTTCCAGGGTATTTCCTTGTACCACTTTTTGGGTCAACATGGGTGCATTAGGTCAATAATAAAAAAAATCTGCCCTGATGGGAACTACCTTATTCTTATTTATGTTAAACAGGATTGCTATAGTAGCAGTAGTCAGAAAATTCATCTTGTCACATCTGGGAGTTGAACTAGAATCACTGTCTTGATAAGCAATCTCTCGAACTACTATGCCAGTGTCAGTGCCTGCAAGCACACCCATATATCTATAACTGATTGTCTTAAACCTGCAAAGTTTTACTTCATTTTACTCTGAGCTGCATTTCATCGATGATTCTAAAGCAAAAGGCAGACAATGATACAAGGTTGGCTGCAGTGTACTACCATGACTAGAGACAAGAGAATGTTGGAGATCCACTGCAGCCAACCTTCACTGTGGAGATGGCACCTGACTTATTGACTATTAAGAAATAGTGTGCCGCAGTGTGGGCATTTGCCAAGATTTTGATGACAGTAGCATTTCAATCACTTGATTTGATTTTCTTTTTTCTTCTTTTTTGGGCTCACCAGCTGTAAACTCTGGCGGAAAGTTCTCGTTGTTCATCCACTTTGGGACTGCAGTCCTGTTTCAGAACCTGAGTGTTGTGTGTGCATCCGTTTTACAGATCTGACTCATTTGTATGCAGACTGCTGGCTCCTTGCATCTCAAGCAAATGTACTCCAACTTCGAAAGAAATTAGTCGACTCTTACGACATGCTTTTGGGTAGGCAGTGGGTCTATTTTTGTTTTCCCTATAATAGGGCCTCGGAACCGATAAGGGAATTTGATTTAGACATCTCACACAACAAGCAATGTGCTTTCTGTTTCATTATCAGTCTTGGTCAATTCCCCTTGGTGTACATCGAGAGTGACCTGCTCCAGAAAATACACAGGGGAATTGTTTCCTTCTTTAATGCTGTTCTTTCTTGTAGTCCTTTAACGTTGCCGGTTCGATGTTCACAAGAGTCTGTCCTATATGCATTCAATATTTCTTGTGTAGTAGCAATCAGTTACACCACTGCCGGCTTGCTAGGCCTGTCCCATTGTGAGGCAGAACATCTGGGAGGAAGGTGACAGGAAGACCAAGAAAGAGATGGATAAATGATGTAGCAGAAACCTGCAAAAAGATGAACAAATCCATCAGCCGAGCCACCTGAGAGGTGCAAGACAGATACAGAAAACTATGACACTGGGAATAAAGGAAGGCCAAAAAACACATGGAGAAGAGAGCTGGAGAATGAAGTTAGAAAGATGGGGAGGACATGGGGAGAGCTCCATGCAATGGCGAAGGATAGAACGACTTGGCTGAGTTGGTTGAGGGCCTATGCTCCATTGGGGGATAGAAAGGCAGAAGAGAGATGACACTGGGCTACAACCTGGCATCAGTCAGACCACTAAAGAAGAAAGAAGATTGTTTTCTTTGTTGTTAGTGCCTTTCTGACTTTTCAGACAAGTGTTATATTGTGCTGTAGGGAGGTATGAGAATCACAGCCCATCGAGATGGCTAGAGTGACCAGCAAGACCTGATCATGTTAAGAAAAGTCTTCCACAATTAGAGCATAGGCTCCTAGGACCACTATTGCCATTATATGTATTTAACTCTTTCAATCCCAAGCAATGCCTGGTATATGTGTGAGACTCTATCCCTTCATTTCCCTACACAGAATATTGTGTTTTCTTACGCGCAACATTTAGTCACAAGATACTAATAAAATGTGGCTTCCCTACTGGTAACTACCATTGTGTATATTTCTCTTTGAAAGTAATGCATTAATGATTTTTCATCATGGTCTTTTCTTTGCTTTTGCATCTCTAGTGAAACCTTCTGGTACCAAGAGAATTAATGCGCTTCTTTTCATATGCTCAACCTTCAACTTGTCTGCAATAATTGTTTCCCCTTTCCCTATTCAACTTCTGATTTCCTGTTTTCCTGCAACACAGTCCATGGCATCCTGTTCCTATAAATCTACCTCAAAACTTATAATCCCCAGAATATTAACTTATTCCATTCAAATACCTTTCAGCTGTGGGAAAGGCACAAATAAATCATTAAAGTCAAAAGAGAATCGTACAGTTAGGACTGACCAGGGGATTTGGTCTACACTTTAAACTCAAAGAAAAGGCCAGCTGGCATTAAATTAATAAGCTACTGCCACTAACTGATACAGATTTGAATTCAAGATCTTCAAGCTTGCAAGTAAACATTTATATATTTGTTTATTCTCTCTGGATATGATCATTTATGGGTTGTTATTTATTTTTTTAATGCCAAGCACATCTCACTATCTAGAGTGGAAAAAAAACATGTTTTAAATAACTCTAGACATTCTCATCATTTTTTGTTGAGACTCCAAGTTTCACAAATGCAAAAAACACTATTGATTAAATGCATCTATTGAGAATTTCTCTTCCCAATATTTACATTATGTCAATATTCTACCCTTCTTTGGAAGTGCTATTTTTTGCCTGTTCGAATTTCCCTGTTATGCCGAATGCATGCAGCAGCATCAATCATACTTTGGCCCAAATAAGATAACTTGCAGCCTGCTTTTCATGAAAGGTTGGACATCCATCTAAACAGTTTTAACATATAATCAATAGGCAGTCAATGCATACTCACTCCATCATCAATACCCAGAACCCTGCCCCCTATGTCATGAATGGTTCCTCCCATTAGCTGAATGCTTTCACTGGGCTGATCGTGGTTGCTAGTCTGCCAAACAAGATTAAAATATGTAAAAACAAATCTCTATAGAATACACAAAAGAATTAACAGTTTTTTCTTCTTCTTTTTTTATTTATTTATTTTTCTTCTATCCAGCAATGGGGCATAGGTCATCAACCAACTTAAGTCATACTATTCTTTGCTATTGCATGTGCATCCCTCTATGTTCTCCCCATCTTTTTCACTTTTTAATTTCCTTAATGAGTTTACAGGCTGGCTGATATAAAATAGGCTCAAAGTATCAATAAGCAGCTAAAGACAAAGAAACTAGGACTATAATGGAGGGAAAGGAAAAGATGCGCACAAATGTAACTGAGTGTTTCAACCATAGCCTTCATAAACTGACAAAACACTAACCAAATATGTTGTTTTAAATTTAGTTACTTATTGATATCTGCTGGACTGCAGTAACTCTGTTTTAGCCTCACAATATCCAGTCATCAGAATGTGAGAGTGTATGTTACAACACTGCTTCACTTACAGAAACCAGCCACTGCAATACAAATCAATTCAACACAAACCCTAATAAGCTGTTGCCATCTGGTCTCTTTTGTCACACAGCCCTAAAAAAAATCTGGCAACATGATGTGAACACTTTAATGTTTTGGTCAAAAACAAGATTTCTAATGAATGGAATAACACTGATACTTTGACTGTCACTGAAGTTGACTATGCCTTTATAACACCTTTATAAATGCAGCACATTACCCAGATGGCTTATTACCTGTTTTCCCCCTTTTATAGCACGCTTGCTAAAACGGCAATGAGTCTGTTCCCTTTCCTCCCATTAAAATGAAGCCTGGGAACCCATAGGGCCATGAATCACATTAAAAACTTTATATACTCTTGAAGAAGTAATTAAACTGTAAGAAAAATACTGATGGAAAAGATCTACAAATAATAAAGAATATGTTTTGGCAGCAAACAGCAGCTATAAGAATTAACAACTGTTTAGATACATTTAAAAGTATAAAGAGGGGTGTACGACAAGGATGTGTACTGTTACCTGATTTATTTTCACTATACAGTGAATTTAAAATGAGATTTTAATTGATTTGCCCGGAATTGTGGTTGGTGGGCACAATCTAAACAATCTGCGTTATGCTGATGACACAGTCTTGATAGCAACAAGTCAGAAAGAACTGGAGGAAATGATAGACATTGTGCTGGTAGAAAGTGGAAGAATGGTCCTCAGTTTGAATAATGGGAAGACAGAAGTAATAGTGGTATCAAAGAGAAGAATTATTCCTAAATGTGTAACAGAAGTCAGTAATGTTATTTTGGGACAAGTACAAAAATTCAAGTATCTAGGCACATGGATAACGTCACATGGAAGATGCATTACTGAGATCAGAAACAGAATAGGACAGGCAAAAACTGCATTTTATAAAATGAAGACCATCTTATGCAATATATCTTTGTCATAGAGGGTGAGAAAAAAGAATTCTTGCTTGCTACATACATCCAGTTGTAACATATGGCTGTAAGTCCTGGACAATCGGTAGGCAGGCCAAACAATTTCTTGAGGCCTCAGAGATGTGGTTTTACAAAAGAAATAAAATATCTTGGACAGCCAAAATGAGCTACCAAGAGGTTTTGAAAGAGGCAGGAGCCCGAAGACAACTTATCACAGACATAAGAAGGAGACAGTCATCATTTTTCGGCCATGTTATGAGAAGAGGGAAAATAGAACATGTTGTGACCACTGGAAAGATCTGTGGAAGGAGGGACAGAGGAAGACAACAAGAGAAGATTCTTGACAGTCTTGTTGCATGGCATGGAGGTGTGTCAGCACACAAACTGATACATGCTGCAGACGATTGCAGATTGTGGACAGGCATAATCATCCACGCCAGTCGGCAAGGCACCTGATGATGATACTATTGAATATATCACCATTCCCTTACATTTTTCAGTAACTGGTAAACTGATGTAAGACAAGATAGATACAAGGGACCTTTGGGAGCAAGTGAACAGTGCTGAGGCACAAACAGATTATCACTGTCTGAAGAGAATGGTTTGGCCAGCAGTGACAATGGGATCTGGCCAACACTCAATACTCTAGGAAAAGATGAGACGTACATACAATCAGACTGTTACTGGTACCATCGGAACTGGGACTCTGCATTTACATCTAAAGATGAGGACAGAGCACTTATGGGAATGTCCCAAATGCTATAATGTTGGTTCTAATGTATCATCATCTTTATCTTTCAGTACCAGGTATGTGAGGCCAGACTTTTTTTAAAAACCAAGAAGAAAAAAACGAGACCTTGGCTCCCATGTTGAACCTGCCTTAAATGGGTACTAGGTAAAGTCCAGTGTGATGCTGACCATATCACCTACTAAGTGCCGATTGTTCTATAAAACACAGGGCTAGCCCTATATACCCAAAATGTCTGAAAGTGTGGAAAAGGGTCCTTTACTTTTACCATGTGACTCACCATATCTGTTGATTACTCAAAGCATGGTATACAACTCATCTGTCCAGCTTCTCTGCAGCAATGAGCTGTTCTGTTCCAACTGTTTCTTTAACTCCTTCATTTTATAATTGTACTAGTTATGCATGTTAACTCTTTCAGTCCCAACCAAGGCATCATGCATGATCAGCAGCTACCCATGTGTCCCAAACAATGCATGATGTGATGTGATTTTGTGATAAACATTTAACCCATTATTTAAAAATTCAACATAGTATGATTTATGTTTTAAGTTATATGCTGTCCCTGTGAAAGCAATGCGTGTATGCTTTATTCTTTGTGGCTAAGTCCTTGTTAGGCATCTCTAATCAGAGCTAATGGGACTGACAGAGTCAAGAATCAAAGATTGCTATTTTATTGTAAACAAACTCTGGGATAGACAGTGTTTCAAGTAGCGATGGCCTGGGACTGAAAGAGTTAAAGACCAGTACCATCAGTTATGTCAGCCACTGGTCTAGACAGTCCAAATCAATGATACCAAGGAGAGATACAGGCTGACTCATGGGTTAAAACTACTGCCACACTTAGGCAATGCCCAATACCTAGCAACATCCTGGGTCCACCTTTTGCTTCCTGAGTGCTGGTGTTTTAGAGATCTATTGGGGTCAATGCTGAGGCTGCAGAATCTCATGCTGTATGCATGCTCTTGGCAGGCCAGAGTGAGACTGAGCCATTTATAATAAATGCGTGTGCACTGAAGCATATCCTCTCTCACCATTGAATATCTTTATGCATGCATGCACAAAGTGAAAGAAACATGCACACTATTAAAAGAAACTAGTACACACAAACTAAAAGTAACAGGACACATTGTTTTATTCTTCTTCTCCTTCTTCACATTCATCAGGTGTAAACTCTGGGGGAAAGTTCTGGTTATTTTTCCACTTCTCGACTTTAGTCTTGTTCCAGTACTTTAGTTGTGGGTCCCCATGTGGGTTATAGGTCTTCAATGTGACCCAAAAAAAAACAAGAATAAACCCACTGCCTTACCTACAAATATATTGCAGGAGTCGATTAACTGGCAGCTTCTGAGGTTCCTTCAAAGTTTGCATCTGCCCAAGCAGCAAGGAACAACCAACTACACAAATAAACCAGTAAAACTGATGTACATGCAAAACTTGGGCCCCGACACAACACCAAAGCCCAACTGCAGGAACAGCCAGGACCTTCCGCTGAAGCTTACAGCCAGTGAACAAGGAAGAAGAGTTCTGTGTGCAAACATCCCTAGTCTTCTATTACGACATGCATGTTACGACAGCAGTTGGTCGATTGCTTTTGTTCTCCCAAATTGGGGCCCTGGAACCCACATAAAGATATAGTTTCATTACAACCAGCCAAAAAAAAAAAAAAGACTCAAATAGAAAGAGGAAGCAGAGATAACAACAAAATAATGCATCAACACTACTACTTGACAACAGACATAGAACCTCATTAAATACGTGAGAAACTGTCAATTTTGTGAAACATGCTACTGATTTACTTAAAGAAATTTGATATTGATTAGACAAAATATAACATGGATTTAGTGAAATAAGCTACAGATTTCTCAAAACATATTCCTTGTTTAGTGAAACATATATATACTGACTTAGTTAAACATACTAATGATCTGGTGAAACAAACTAATGATCTGGTGAAATATACTAATGATTTGGTGAAACATACTAATGATTTGGTGAAACATACTAATGATTTCAAGATACCACTAAAAATTTTAAGAAACATACTAATGATTTCAAGAAACATACTAATGATTTCAAGAAACATACTAATGATTATAAGAAACATATTACTAATTTCAAGAAACATACTTATGATTTCAGGAAACATACTAATGATTATAAGAAACATATTAGTAATTTCAAGAAACATACTAATGATTTGAAGAAACATACTAAAGGCTTAAAAAAAACATACTTTTGATTAAAAGAAACATACTGTTGATTAAGTGAAACATAACACCAGTTTGGAGAAACGTACTAGTGATTCACAAAAACCTACTACGAATTGAGATAAATGTGCCTCTGATTCTTTGAAACATACTACAGCTTTTAGTGAAGTCCTACCTCATAGTAATACAACCAGCCATCCTGTGCCTTGAAGAAGCGTCTCTTCCAAGTTTTCAACAGTGTGGCTTTTCTCTTGTTCATGGGCAACTTCTCCATGAGCCCTTCCATTGTGATGTACTGATGTGAGATGTCTTCTATTACCTGTAGAACAAATGGGTGTAGATATATACCTCCCAATTTATGCATACTGATGCATGTACATCATGTAGATAAAACCAACGACAGGTGAAATCTACAAGGTTAGCATTGTAGAAACAGTATCATGATGAAGTGTCAGAGAACAAGATAGTCTGTCAATTAATCTCTCTCTCTCTCTCTCTCTCTCTCTCTCTCTCTCTCTCTCTCTCTCTCTCTCTCTCTCTCTCTCTCTCTCTCTCTCTCTCTCTCTCTCTCTCTCTCTCTCTCTCTCTCTCTCTCTCTCTCTCTCTCTCTCTTATTTTTTTGCCTGAGTGTATGTGTGTTAATGTATGTGTGTATGTGTAGGCATTTGTGTACTGGGGGGTTCATGTGGCAGGGCAGAGAGAGAGACAGAGAGAGAGAGAGAGAGAGAGAGAGAGAGAGAGAGAGAGAGACAGAGAAAGAGAGAGTTACTATGTGTGCACAAGTATCCACTAAAGGACTTGCAATTATAGCCCTCAGACTAATAGTGAAGTTCATAATTAACCTAGGATTGCACACTTCTTTGGCTAACAGTAAAGTTTACATCTAAGCCCCTGTTAGACAACACTTAGGTTAAAAGTAAATTTCACATCTGAACCTACGTCAGACAACCCTTAAGCTAACAGTAAAGTTTACATCTGAAGCTATGTCATACAACCCTTATGCTACCGGTAAAGTTTACATCTCAACCATCATCAGACTAACTCAGACTAACATTAAAGTTTATATTTGAAACTAGGTCAAACAACCTTTAGGCTAACAGTAAAGTTTACATTTGAACCCAAGTGAAACAACCCTTAGGCTAACAGTAAAGTTCACATCTGAACCTAAGTGAAACAACCCTTAGGCTAACAGTAAAGTTCACATCTGAACCCAAGTGAGACAATCCTTAGGCTAACAGTAAAGTTCACATCTGAACACAAGTGAGACAACCCTTAGGCTAACAGTAAAGTTCACATCTGAACACAAGTGAGACAATCCTTAGGCTAACAGTAAAGTTCACATCTGAACACAAGTGAGACAATCCTTAGGCTAACAGTAAAGTTCACATCTGAACACAAGTGAGACAACCCTTAGGCTAACAGTAAAGTTCACATCTGAACCCAAGTGAGACAACCCTTAGGCTAACAGTAAAGTTCACATCTGAACACAAGTGAAACAACCCTTAGGCTAACAGTAAAGTTCACATCTGAACACAAGTGAGACAACCCTTAGGCTAACAGTAAAGTTCACATCTGAACCCAAGTGAAACAACCCTTAGGCTAACAGTAAAGTTCACATCTGAACCCAAGTGAAACAACCCTTAGGCTAACAGTAAAGTTCACATTTGAACCCAAGTGAGACAACCCTTTAACTGTAGTCCATTCCAAAAGTCATGCCTGACTTAAAAATCTGTAACTCAGTAAATGTTCGATGTCAGTTGTTGAAATTTGGGGTGCAGCCTGTTAATAATTATTTCCTTGTGAGAAATGTTTTCTTTTCTTTTAATGTAAACATCTAGTTTTTTTTTTTAACCTAATTTACCGTCTTTGGAAAGAAGAGAAAAAAATGACGCTGATCTAAAGCAAACAATCAGCACGCTTAAGTTAACTAAGTAACAGAAACTTTTTAAAACATCACACCACATGCATGTCATAGGCATTTAACTCTCAGGTGGTCATCTCCAGCATTAGTCACCCGTGAGTTGTCAATTTTTTAAATTGTATGCAGGATAGGCTATCAAAATAATCTTAGAAGTCAAAATCACCATCATCATCGTCATCATGTCAAAAATTCTCTTCCACACATTAAACTAATTTCAACCCACTTTAAAGATTCTTAATCCGTTGCCACTTCTCCTTTCAAAAGTATAATAAACAAAACATGACTATGATGACATCAAAGGCAATAAATCCTGCCCAGAAGGACATAACTGTCTTCATTCTCGTGCTTTCATTCAAGTGTGGATTAGGAACAGGAGGAAAAGATACGGGAGCACTCACCTCATCCATGAGCTTCACTTCATACAGGACTGAATATACTGGGTCCTGCAAAAGAAAACAATACTACTTATACACACATATACATATTATGGACTTGTCCAATGTGTGATAAGGATAATCTGTCAGTTAACTCACTAACTGACATACAGATTTTTTTTTTTTTTTAATATCCAGAAACCATGAGTTGTTAACCCTTTGGCTCAGTACTATGGATATCGCAACCCTTCGGCCTTGATTCCATGATAGGTACAGTAAATCTGGGGGGAAATGTGGCTTTTCTGCCTACCCCCGGGAGTGAACCCGGACCACAAGGAGTTCGTCACCCGGTCACCGCGCAGTCCGGTTTAGCCAACTACGCTAGAGAGCCGGGCAACACATACAGATAAAATGGGAAGTATCACTGTGAAAAAGAACAGTAGTGAGGTTGCTTCACTGTAGTTGAGTAAGTAAAAATAACCTTTCCTCTACTTGAGGGTTACTGAATATATTGTGTTAACCACATATTTGTTTTAATAAACCAATTGTCAATATCATGCCGACTACTCTCACTTCCGGAAATACTTCTTAGTATCCATTTTGAGGTTTCTTGACCTAGTTCAAGTCATTTATTTTCGGTCCAAAGCGAATTCTAAGACATGACACCCAAAAAATGGTTTAAAAGTGGTTGTGAACAGCAAAATAGAAAGAGGGATAATACAAACTAATGTAAACCTTGAAGAATGGCTATGAAAACATAACAGAAAATGAAAAGGTATTATTCCATAATCAAATAGACATTATAATCAGTAATCAGCAGGTTCTTTACAGAATGTTGCTCTCGTCACGGCACACCTGAAAGTTTCTCTTTCTCTAGCCATTTCTCCAGCCCAATGTGCTTTTACAGCCCTTGCATGTTCAATGTTTCTTATCCATCTTCACAGAGGTCTGCCTCTGCTAAATACGCATAGCAGGTTTTTGAAGAATACTGCCACTAAAATAAGGGCCACAACTTTATCTTTTTCCTCCCCCATATCCTACATACTATGGACACAAGACTGAGCCATAAAGTATTTAGATCCCTGTGCAATGAAATTGATCATCTCGACTTTAAACCTTTAAGTGCTTTCACTCCAACAATGTCACTGCTAATGCTTGAGTGAAGCAGTAATAACAAACAATTCAAATCACAGGTGAATTCCATAGGGCCAAAATACACAATCCTAATAAGAGTCAGATGTGCTGGAGTCTTTTGTATGCCCTGACTAATTATAAGATGTACTTACATATATCTCACATTCATCTAGGTTTATTCAAAATGAAGGTCATGGTCGTTAAGCTAGCCATTCCAATGAAGGAGTCTGCAAGTCACTCGAAAATGATCTTATCTGTTTATTTGGTTCTCTCTTTCCTAGAGGCTTTAATATCCAACACTGCTTTAATTAAATAAATTTTTCGAGTGATGTCCCTGGCCCTAACCTCTCACCCCACCTACTAATCCTTTCTCTCCTCCTGGCCAGTATCTCACTTGTGTCTTTCCGTGGTCAAGCCATTTGGCTCGTGTTCTGGAGGCAGTGAGTCATTACACGGCTGCACCGTTTAGTTCATGAGTACAATTTTTACGGAGGTCCCCGGGGATAATCGCTGGAGCTATGGAGTTGATGCAATGTGCGGTGCTCTTGGCAGCCGTTCAGCAGAGAGAGACTGAGCTATTGGGATAGAACCGGGTGCAATGAAGTGGATCCTCTTTACTTAACATTTTAACTGTATCACTGTCAGACAGGTGACAAAGAGCCTCTGCTGCTCAAGCATGCATGGAGATTCTTTTTTGACAGGCCTCACCATAAAGCTTAGTGACCGTTATATATTCTTGTCTATTTTTTTTGTTTTTGGGGTATCCTGATGAAGTCTTTCTAGCTGGAACATTCATTTTGTTTTGCAAGACTGTGGCATTGTGAAGCTAGTTAGTTCTGATATAATTTTTCATAAACATGCATAACATGTTCACTTGTGTACATAAGTAATATCCAGTCCCTCATGGAGTACTATCTGGTACTTAAAGAGCAAAGAGAGAGAGGGAGGGAGAGAGAAACAGAATATTATAAAGGTTGATTTTCTGAATGGAATGCAAAGGGTCTGAACCACACGGCAATACGGCAAAGGCTCGTACTGGTTCAGACCTGTCTACAATTTTGCAAGGTCATCCTAGAACCAGGTTCCCAAACTAGAGTCTGGCCACTATAGGTAGGATGAATGTTTCTTTCAAACTCTGAGTGTATCTGCCTGAGAGGTAAAGAATCAACAGTTTGCATACAAATAAGTCAGGTCTGTAAAACAGATGTGCATGCAACACTCAAGAACAAGACTAAAGTCCAGACATGGATGGACAACAAGGACCTTCCACCAGAGTTTACAGCTAATTAAACATGATGATGATGGTGATGATGATGATGATAATGATGATGATGATACTGATGATGATGATGATGATGATGAAGAACAAGAAGGAAGGAAGAAAAGAAGGAAGGAAGGAAGGAAGGAAGGAAGGAAGGAAGGAAGGAAGGAAGGAAGGAAGGAAGGAAGGAAGGAAGGAAGGAAGGAAGGAAGGAAGGAGGAAGGAAGGAAGGAAGGAAGGAAGGAAGGAAGGAAGGAAGGAAGGAAGGAAGGAAGGAAGGAAGGAAGGAAGGAAGGAAGGAAGGAAGGAAGGAAGGAAGGAAGGAAGGAAGGAAGGAAGGAAGGAAGGAAGGAAGGAAGGAAGGAAGGAAAGGAGGAGGAGAAAAAGAAGAGATTAACAATAAGAAGACTGTCTGAATAACAACTTACACACAAATTCACATATTCAAACAAGTACTTACAGGGTCCCAGTTTCTGAGGTTCATCCGGGGTACTCTGTCTTCATCATCCATCTCAATGCCATCATCAACAAAGGTCGTGAAGTCTGCAGGGTCTTTCTCGGCAGACGGTGCGATGCTGGATTTGATTGGTGAGCTTTTACTTCCATCGCCATCAGTCTCTGTTAGATTGAAAATGTAAGATGATGATAAACAATAAGTTATGACAAATTATTCAATCATCAGCATTCTTTTGATCCCAAAGAGGGCCGCCTGGTCTGTACAGACATAAACTAACACGTCCTGTTCTTGCAACGCAGGACCACTGTTATCAGGAGGCCACCCGTTCTGAGTGGCGTACGTGCCTTAGGCATGGTACATCGGCAGTTGGAAATCGAAAAGAGTAGCCAACCGGGCTGCCCGGGCAAAATTTGGAATTAAAAATGTACCCAAAACCTTTCAGGATCCTCGCCGGTGCTACGGAGTCTGTGCACTGTGCTGAGCTTCTTCGGACTCAGACTTTAGTTAGAAGAACAGAGCACTCATGGGTTACTATCCGTGTGCCATGATGTTGGTCCGTTGTTCAAACTTAACTGTGCAAACAAACCTTATAACTAATATGCCTCCATGACATGGGGGCGGGAGAGATTTGTTTACTTTACATATAGAATAAGTATTGGGGGTGGTGGGATTGTGATGCAGTTTCATATTAATGACATACATGGGTTCAAAGTCCGAAGCCAGTTGCAGGCAATTTGATCACAAACCACTTGGAGATGTTTTCAACAAAAGTATGAGCACTGAACCCTTCAAAAAAGCATTGCCAAACTTTCAACAAAATTGTATCCAATAAAACTACGAACAGCCAACAAATAAATGCTGGGGACGGTTTAAAACATTCAGTAAAAGAAACGTAACTAACTTTTCCTAACCATACATGGAACGAATCAGGTAATCGAGGTTCGAACTTTACAGCACATGAGTCACCCCAAAGTTGCTCCGTTCCTGCGCCAACAAAAACCATACAGAATGTCTGTCACTGTCACTTGTGGAGAAATTGAAACAGACTGAAGTCTCAGCAATTCTAACAGCATGCACATGCGATAAAGTGCATCAGATAGCCGTCATAAGTGTCGTGGCTTTATTATGATCCTCCCCAAAACAGAGGAAATCCACATGTCACGGGACAGTGATATTTCAGGGGGTTGATAGATAGGCTGCATGCAGTCGTGGGACCTAAGCTGCATGCATTCGTAGACATAGGTTGCACTGTAGGACGTAGGTGGGTTGGGGTTAGGGCCAGTTCTAGATGTTTTGGGGTCGTTAAAAGCATCACCCTCTAAAATGTTGGACTGTCCTGTGACGTCAGATGGAGTAGGCTATTAATAAAGAACCGAAGTGTCATTATGGGACAAAAAGAGTGATTAACTATCAATTAACTGGCTAACAGGCAAAAAGCGGCCAGGAAATAGATGGGCTCGAGGAATAAAAGAGATACAATAGACAATAGATGTGTGAATAAAGATATTACATTAACACATGCAACTGCAACTAGCAAAAGAGAGAAGAAAGTAATCATAACTCCTCTCTGAAGGTCGCGGGTTCGTTTCATGGATGTCTAGTTCCGTTCGCGAGTGCAGCTTTTGCGGAGATACCATGGGATGGTGGCTGAAGTTACCAAGTTCGTGTTTTGTGTGACATTATTGACAGGTGGCTAGCCATTCAGTGGAGACACACCGAGCAAAATGGGATAGAACCCGTGCATTCTTTTTCTTTTTCTTCGCATTCACAGGCTGTAAACTCCAGTGGAAAGTTCGGGTTGTTCGTCCACCTCTGGACTTTAGTCTTGTTCAAGAATCTGAGTGTTGCGTGCACATTCGTTTTACATATTTGATTTATCTGTACACAGAGTGTTGGTTCCTTGCCTCTCAGGCAGATGTACCCTGACTTCAAAGAAAGCTTGATGGGAAGGCAGTTGGTCTTTGCTTGTTTTCCCCACAATGGGGTCCCGGAACCCACACGGGGAAACCCTTGTAACGCAGTAGATTATTTTGACATTAACTTTAACGTTGTCATCATCATCGTTTATGCAATTTACACATACGCAAACGGTCATAAAATGTCTTCTCACACAGCGGCTACTTTTTTGTAAGGGTTATGCCATATGGCCAAGCTGTCCACGCATGCATATCTCTCTCTCTCTCTCTCTCTCTCTCTCTCTCTCTCTCTCTCTCTCTCTCTCTCTCTCTCTCTCTAGAGAACTAGAATGTCTTTGCAGTGGAACACACGAGGGGCATAGAAATAAAAAAAAAATAAACATGAAGAAGGGAGCTAAAGAGTGAAGCTAAATAGACAGGGAGGACATGGGGAGAGCAAAATGCTATAACGAAGGTGTCGTGGAGTGAACAGCCAACCCTATACGATGGACGAGTCGTGAAGCTGACTTCCCTAGCGGGCACGTCATATTTCAAACTTAAACCCGTCCGGAGGGGTATATAGTCCCTTGTATTGATATATACCTCTATCTGGTAAAATATTCATTTCTAGACCCTCTAGTTGCTTTGAGAAATCTTCATTTTCAAACTTGCAACTGTGGGCTGAAGATTTCTGGTGTTTAATTCAGAAATTCCTGTAAGCCTGTTTACTCCATGGGCATGCATACAGGGACTTCTTCCTAGTGACGCCAAGCTTAGTTTTGAGCGGCATTCTTTCGCCTGATCTCCAAAGTGTCAAGACGTGTATACAGTCTATTAATAAAATTGGCGCATTCAGTACCAGTTCTATCTTTGAAGAATTCCTAATATATGTCTTTTTAAAGTTGGCCACTGCTGCAGAGAGGGCAGATTCAGCTGTGTGATCGCACAGAGTTCGGCCGTTCTTGATGTCCAGAGATCAGGCTCCGAACATTAAACCTTTTCCTGTGCAGACTAAACAGTTTGTGCTCTACATAACCCACACCATTTGTAAAGATATTAAACCCTACAAGTAATTATTCTCTGACCAGACAAACGAATTTTTGTGCCTCCTAGCAGAAATATGGAATCTGGGTCATCTTTTAACAGTTAACTGCTGTGACGTCAGAGCTAGACGCTCTGAGTCAAAGGTGTGTTTGACACAGAAACAGTGGGCGTGTAGTGAACAGCCTGTGGAGACGTGAAATATATATAGGTACTAACCGTATACATTGTATGTCTGCGAGTGCAGATGTGAGGGTGGAGAGAGGGTGATCTATGTGTGGTGGTGTCTATCTATCTCCACTATATACCTTGTCTTCTATCTGGTGTACTAATTTACAGACAGATAAATGAAAGGAGACACTGTCTCTTCTTGCGAGTTACACTCTGAGGAATGGAGAAGGGTAGCCGAGTGTGGGGTGAGCTGATGTGTGAATAAAGATGATTACTAATTCTGATTTCTTTCCTGACAAGATGATACCTCCTTAGAGATCAGGCAGACGAATCACAGTCCAGCCAACAACCACCAACCCATACCATTATGGGCACCAAGCATACCCAAAAGTCCTACCTATTCTTGCCACTACCTCAACGTGGCAGGAGTTTGTTTGTGAGTTCCAGGACTAGTGGACAATTGCAGACTCCTATGTCATCAATCCAGAGAATCAGTCTTCAAGAGCTTTGTTGGGCTCCTATGCAGTTCCTGTGTCCTCACCTGTGAGACAGTCAGCTTGTAACAAATCAAATCGAGGCATAGCTACCTATTGAGTCAACTACAGTCGAATCACCATGGACTGAGGGGAGCAGTGACCTACGAACTGGGATAAGGGATCTCTTATTCATATACATGCTCTCTTCCTACAGCTACTTGCGATTCCTACGATGAACTCATGTAAAATCCAGGAACTACATCTGGCTGCTTCAATATCTGGGTTGTGTCATTGATTCCTGAACTCCATTCAACGAACACTCTTGATTATCTATTCATTTATATTTGTATTTATATTGAGCTTATTACATGCAGAAATTTCCATGGCTGACTTGGGTGTCCCTGTTTCACCATTCTAACTGTCTAGCTTTTATGTTTGTGTGAGTAATAAGTGTAATCTGTGTTAACATGGCTATGATAGTATACTATCATAACCTGGGGGCTACTTATTTATAGTAGTGGGGGTATCCAGCCAAGTGTGCCTAGGAATATTATATATTTTGTAGTGCCAAAGCTTGAGATGCCCTACTCCTGAAATAAGTTGAGCGTATATTGGCCACGGGATATCCCTTAGACCAATACGAGACAACGACTCAACATTATTATTTCAGAGTGCTGTTGGTTCTTAAGGAGAAATCCTTAAATCAGGCATGTGACAGAAGGAAAGAACGACTCGTTGAGAGGATCTATGGCTTAATTTCGGGTTAGAAAGGCAGAAGTAGAAGAAAAAAAAGAAAGCAGCAGAAAAAAATTGTCACAATTCATGCGTTACCCAGGCTTAAAAGGGATGCAAAGAATGGTCAGTAAATGTAACTAAGTGTATGACTCTTTTTTACGCGTGTCGCATCCAGCGAAGTCTAGACTCACATTTAGTATACACCAGTCGGCACTCGGTCAGTGATGTGGTCACGCCGGCCGCATTTACTCACCAAGACATAACCTGATACCCATTTCAGGTTGGGTCGACCTGGACGACAAGGTCAGTTCTCGATGTGGATAGGAATCCAAGCATTTTGGGCCCGATTGGCGAGCCAAAGAATGGTAAACGTCTGTGTCAAACACCACAAAAGCTGTAAATGTGATGCCGAGGTTATCACAGTAGATAGTTTTAAAATAGGGTGTCGGAAATTATACTGAAGATAGGAATAAACTCACAGGGAGCAAGTACAGCAAGGATCTACAAGTCATCAGTAGAAGTTATCCTCCTCGACAAGTGTTTCGGCCCACGATTCTCCTAGACACTTTCGGAGGTGGGCCCACCTGAGTTCATGAAGCTCAGGGCTGGTACCCTGCTGCACGAGATTACCGGATGATGTTTTTCTTTCGGATAGGGACAAGACGACTTGGTGATTTGCAGAAGGTACTGTGAGATAAGAAGTCGTTGCGGCAGCCTAATTAGAACAGTCAGCATGCCTGGACGACCGAGCGACAAGCTTACGTTTGGTTTACCGGACACATGTTGGACTTTTGTTAGCAGGTAGCAGAGGAACACTGGCAGACAATTCGGACACGATGGACT